AGACGACCACATTCTGGGGGCATCACGAGCTATTAGAACAGTGTTAACCTACAACAAGCTCGATTGGTTTAAATTTGTGGCTGGTCACTTCTTATGGTCATCAAAAAAACACTAAGAGAGAAGTGAACTGTGTAGGTAAACGATTTCTTGGAATAAATGTCCCTTCAAGCTAACATTGGGCTGACCTCATTAGTTTTACTGGTCACAAACTGGCTAGAGGCGCTCGGTCATGCATCCGCACGAATGATTGCACCCTGCTACGTATCCCTTACAACTACCAGCCAAATGTGGTATACATATATAATTCAAGATAGTGTACGTTAGGAATAGCCAAGAATGAGGATATCTATCGGATATATGAATGTAGATAGTTATTAAATTATTAATGTATTTATATGGCTGCTGATTAAGCGGGAACAAGAAGTCATCAGTCTTCAGTAGTAAGGATAGCAGGTCTTTTATCACGGCTGATTGTTGGCCTTTCGCCATCGTTGATAAAAAAAGCACCTAACTAAAACATTCTGATAAGGCGTCAGCCTCTGTGACAACATTTCTTGTCAGTGTCGACGGGTTTTCGTATCAGTGTTAGGATTTCATCGTTTCTCTGAGTTCGCCTTTTTATTTACGAGAAAAACCTTTTTGTACTGTTTTCATAATCTTTAACCAATTGTTTTTGCTATGAATGTCGAGCTTTATTTATCAAGGCTTTTGTAGTGACTCACATTTATCACGAGAACACGACTGGTTTAATAAAAACAATTATTATTATAACCAACTGTACCAGTGTTTGTTTTAACGTGCTTTTGTTTGACTGTGCTAATGACAGCTATTTTGTGCTTCCATTCTTTACACACACTTCGATTGTAACTTCGCGCGAATTCGGTTACCTTCTGTAACCAAGGTTGTATCCTGGCACGATCTCGGTATCCTTTCGATGCCACGAGATCGCCAGCAAATAAACCTCGACTTGGTCCATTAACTGCCTTCTGATATTTGGCTTCTCGGAGATTTTATGGATCTATTTGGTTACGTCCAACCCTCGCCTTCTGATTTATCTGGCACGTGTTTTTTGGTAGCGGTGTTCATAGTTAACCTCAACTCGACGCCACGCTACAATTGGTAATCCCAACGAATACAATTGGTGACCCGTATTTTGGAACACGCCTCAACTTCTGATCAAATCTTCCAAAGAAGCCAATTCGGTGAGTCTATGATTTATCTATCCACGTCTGTCGTATATTTTCATATTTTTTAATATATAATATACTCGACATGACGGATAACGATAATAATAGTATTAATATAATAGACTCACATGTATGTGTACCGAATCCTTGTTACTTTTTATTCGCGTGACGATGAATTCCACGCTTTATTCGAGAAAGTTTCCCCTATTAACTGTTCTCCTCGCTGACCCGGCTGCTTGGTACGGAATGCATACGCATAAGCATATCTGTCTACCACCCAGCACCAAATGGTTAAGTAAACGGTTTCACTGCCAACTTAAAAGTGCTATACGAGCACACGAAAACGGCAACTGGCACGAAACCTTACCGCTCGTTCTTTTAGGGATCACAACGAGCTTGAAGGCAGATATACAATGTTCCGCCGCTGAACTGGTATTCGGCACGACATTGCGTCTGCCCGGAGAATTCTTCACACCACGGAGCAGACCTAATTTCGGTAAATCAGACTACGTCCATCGACTGTCTGCATTTATGCGAACGCTGTCTCCGGTGTCAACTCGAATACAACATCGACAGGTCGCTCTCCCTCGAGAGTTATCTACCTGTTCACATGTTTTCATACGAGTAGATTCGGTACGCAAATCTTGGCAACAACCTTACGAAGGCCCTTTTCACGTGATCGCTCGTCACGAAAAGACCTTCAAGGTTGATCGATATGGACGCGTCGAGATCGTCAGCATTGATCGTCTCAAACCAGCACACGTCGATGACAGTGCCCTATCTGATAACCTGAGATTCAATGCTAGACCTAGCAAACCTACTAGCGGGATCCTCAAACCATCTTCAGGTCCCACGCTAGATACATCTGAGACCTCATTCTCACGTCCCAGTCAACAGCACGCGTCATCTGCACCGTCTACGGATGAGACGACAGTCTCACGTCCAGATCAGCAGACCACGCCGCCCTTGACTTCGGATGAGATTGCAGGCTCACGCGACGCGAACGAGACTACCGTCTCACGTTCCGGTCGCCGAGTACGGTTACCCGTACGCTTCCGCGACTAGCCGCACAGTCAACAACCGATACGGTGTAGGATTATTCCTATACTACACGCATGCTACACTCCTCTCTTTTTTGATTTTCTTTTTGTTTCCTGAGCCCACGCCTTCGACCATCTCCGTTTGGTTCCGTCGACTTCAGTCAACTTTGGCGAAAGCTGGATTGGCCACCCACGCTCTTGTCAACGTACTCAGTCGATATATTGGTTTCGAATGCTTGGCATACGCTTGGTCTCGAACTTGGTCGTTATGGTCGCTTCTGGTTCATCGGCTCAACGTGGTTTCGTCCTTCGTCTGCAGCGTTTCTGGTCCGGACCCTACGAACGCCCTCTTCAGATTCTGGATACAAACCACTCTGGTGTAGCATGCCAACTCAAGCAATAAATACAACACATCGCTCCTGGTACCGTTCTCCGAAAACGACCTTCGTTGGCAACTCGACGATCAACGATCGCTTTCCTGTTCGCCAATTCTTCCGTCCTACAATCGCTCGTCAGCCGATCAGTCCCACGATTCAAACCGCTATTTATCGAAAGTGTAAACCCTTTCTAGCGGGGGGCTCCTGTAGTGACTCACATTTATCACGAGAACACGACTGGTTTAATAAAAACAATTATTATTATAACCAACTGTACCAGTGTTTGTTTTAACGTGCTTTTGTTTGACTGTGCTAATGACAGCTATTTTGTGCTTCCATTCTTTGCACACACTTTGATTGTAACTTCGCGCGAATTCGGTTACCTTCTGTAACCAAGGTTGTATCCTGGCACGATCTCGGTATCCTTTCGATGCCACGAGATCGCCAGCTAATAAACCTCGACTTGGTCCATTAACTGCCTTCTGATATTTGGCTTCTCGGAGATTTTATGGATCTATTTGGTTACGTCCAACCCTCGCCTTCTGATTAACATGGCACGTGTTTCTTGATAGCGGTGTTCATAGTCAATTTCGACTCGACGCCACGCTACACTTTCTAAGCGTCCCTAGTTTAACAATAAATGCATCTGTACTGTCCAGGGACTGCAACAATAAACATATTCCATTGCCTTTCGCTACCTCCAAGAAGCCTCTTTACCTACTTAGTTATACACAATGGACAGTTATTTGGTCTAAATGGCGCTAATCATCGCATGAACTGTGACATAACTAAACTAGGTGTGCCTTTAGATATCGACCATACTTCACAATGTGATGATTTAACGGAAGATTTCATGGTTTCTCTGATCCTAGGATTACCTTAGGGAGTCTATAAAGTCGGAGTTCAACATTTTGTTCTGTCCTATTTATTCTTATCCATCTTTTGATCTGAACTTCTATAGATTCATCTGGTAAGATGCTACGAATAAATGCTCTGATCTTTTCTAAAACACGCGAGTCTCTTATTTTTGGATCAAAACGGTTTAGTTCTAGCATATTATTTACAATAATTTTCGATGGGAACAAGGTTTTTCAGTCACGCTAGGGTTTAGCTCAGCCCCGCCTTGGAAATTTGGCGGTGTATTCTGTGAAAAAGAATGATAGTATATCAAAGACTTACCAACCAAACTGGTGCTGTTCATGGCTTTCATCTTTAGCATCTTTATCTTCACACGGCAGTTTTTCTCCGTCACTCAGTACAGACATATCGGAACTATTGGAGACAGTGAAGGTTTTATCTGGGTCCTCAAGTGCTACTTCAACTCGTAACTACCAACATTTCGTGTCATTTCACTCTTTTTTTGTTTCAGGGGAGAATTTCCTTCTCAGTGCTTAGCAGTCGAGTGTTTGGCTCATCATATAGCAACACTTACTACACTGACACAATTTGTTGTCAGTACCTATGTTAACGATGTAGCCACTGTCAACTTTCTCGCAGACCAAAACCAGAAGGTTCATTAGCTCCCTGATCAGTAATTTAGCCCTTGAATAGCAAAATATACAAACCCAACCGTAGTTAGGCTTCGAGTAACATTTGTTACTGGAGGGACTGATACGGGTTTACATCTAGTAGAACCACATTTTACACTCATCGCAATGAATTTCTTTCATCCGCAAGGAAAAATGATCTGTTCACACTTTTAAGTACAGCTGACCATTATTAGCAGATTAAACATGTAGAAAAAAGGACGAAAACACAATATAATCAATAGTGTGAGAATCAAATACAAGGGCACCACAAGACGGATTCGAAGAAAATTTCAAACCTTAACCGAAATAATTCAAGTTGAAGTAGACCAAGGATGTTTTGGATGCAACAAATACACAAAAGTAAGGTTGACTTACGACAAGAACGAAACCACTGCCGTTTTGTAAAACTCGTGCGTTCGTTTTTTAAATTCATGGTTGACAATCCGTATCTCATGCAAGAAAACAGCAAAGCTGGAAAGGAAGAGTCGAAGCTTAATGTGGACAATAATTCCGTAGACAGTAATAAATATTGCACAAACAAAGTGGAATTCTGAAATATGTAGATAATAAAAATGTTATCTACAACAGAAGTCTACTACAGTCGAAATTCCAAGGTTGTCTTTAGTCTTGTCAAGGTTCCGTAAAGTGGCTTTTTTGAATGTAAAAACTCACGCCTGTTTCATCTATTTCTGCCGATTGATTTTATTATTCAATGTTATTATGTCCAATTCTCTTGCTGAATCTTCAGCACAATTTTCATCCTGTTCTTCCTTCCAGATTATTTCATAAATTGCTCTTCACACTCCCTTACCATACAACACACATTCAGACAAGCTGCAAAACTACCGTCAAAAGCATTGGATTCTTATGGCTAGTGATGTTTCGTCTTTGAGGTTGGAGTTATTCAGTGCCAAGTCCAGACTGGTTAACTATTTGCAAAATCATCATAATTTTCGGCCAGTTCAGAGAGAGTTTCTAGAGTTAGTGTCCGAATTCGAAATATTAAAGCTAAAGGCTCAAGATATATATGGGATATCAAGAGAAAAGGTTTGTTATTATTGCTCATATGAACTTATATATTCATTACAATCTTAAGTTTCTATTCTGGTGAAACATACGGATTCAATTTACGAGTATAAAGCGTTTTTTCCAGACTGTCCTCATACGAATCTGATACTTCTTAGACTCCACAAAGTTTGTCAAGAAAATTTTTATTGTCCATTGTTTTGAACTTTGCTAAATGTCTTGATGACTAGTCGATTTTACATAAAAGTTACATCCGAAAATAAGTGGGTCTTGTTTCTTAGTTTTTGTCCTTAAGTTCCTACGATACACTATCTTGAAAGACGTTTTTCTTCTTCTCTTAGTCTTAAGCATGACTAATGTTACCTGAGAAGCACTCTTTGCATTTTCGTTGTTTATGATCTTTGTTATCACGTGTAATCATAAGCAAGACGATCTTTAGCTTTGACCCATATGTGGAAAATGCATATAAATGTTCCCTGTTCTAGCTCGGGAAATCCTTATTGGTTCTAAATGTCTTTTCTAAAGGCGATTACGCCTCGTTCCATTAGACCCTTAAACTAGAGGTACTTCATGCTGTTCGTGATATTTACTGATTATTATGAAGTCGGATATATAAATGAACTATTCAGCTATGCCTACTAATTAAAAACGGTGAGACTCTAATTTATGGACGACCTTTCAATGAGTCTTAAGTGACCTTAAGAAATATTAACCAATCATCAGACAGTCAGTATAGGCTAAGAATATATTATACAAAACCAAGGAAATATAGAGGTTCTAAAATCGTAATGCATGCAGTAGAGGAAATCATCCATGCGGCTACAGAATAGTCGGCCTCTGGTGGCAACTCGAACTGATGTACGTACATACGAAGTTCTACTTTGTGACTGACTGACTGAGTCGGCCTCTGGATCCATGATAAAGTCTCAAAATCTCTTTCAGCCTCGACCACATAGCTTCAATATTGCTTATGTGCACTCCGGTTGTTGAGTACACAAAATACCACTTGTGGACAACGACACGATGCACATAAACAAGCCTATGTAGGAGTCTGTACGCTCTTTAATCACCTGTATATATTGTAGTAACTGGCTGCAGCCAGTGTTACTAGTGCTTTAATTATCCAGTTCGCGATAATTGACATAATTTGCTTAGTTAGGAATTATATATGGGGTTTTCATCACGACATAAGCTATAATGCCAGAAATCTATTTAGCCGAATGGATGAAAGGCTTTCACGTTAAAACCCGAGATCTGTCATCTTATACCTGATTAATTCGTCCACAAATTATAGTCTCGCCGTTTCATTTGTTATAGCCGCTCAATTATCATGTTTTGTACAAAATTCCTTGTAAACCCATCGTACGTTAGCATTAAGCACTTAAGTTGGCGCCATAACTTTGAAATCCTTCAAACGGCTCTGATTGGCTCGTCCATAAATTAGAGTCTCGCCATTAAAAACATTACATTATGGGGACCTCAGAATCTGCTTGTCCTTTATTAAGGTGAACTATTGTGTGTTGAAAGATGATTGATATTTCCATAACGAGTCTTGAATAGTAAAAGTTAATGCATACAACACGTGACAATTTACCTATGTGTTCGTGTTTAATTCAATTTGTGTGAGGGTTGGAATGCTGCCCGATGACCGAAAATTGGTCCATACGCCATTTGTTCCCTCAGGATCCTGGAGCCCATGTGAACCATTTATTTGGAATCAGGGTTTTCAAACTCCCTTAGGCGGATCCTCTGTGTCCACCAACTCGGTTAAAGTCCCCATCGGATACTCGCTTTTCGTCTTCTCAACTTTGTGAACGACACCCCTATTAAGAGAAGTCAGTGAGTAGAACTTTCTTGACAAAGGCTGTAAATACGCGGCCATGTGACAGCGTATGGGGAGGAAGAACGGTTTTTATCCACTCTCGGCCGTATCGAGGCAAATTACTGTCAAGCAAACACCTACTGAAATTTGTTATGTGAAGGGCGCGATTTTGCGAACCTGACCATCTAATCCTAGGATATAACCTGTAGTATTAAGTTCAATAGATGTAAATAAATATACAAAAAACAGCTAGAAGATCTGTTGATATCTTTTACATGTTTATCATTTTTGCTACCATATCCGGGTACATAACTAGACATAATGGAAACGAAATTTCTTTTGTTTTTAAAAGTGATTGTCTCAATTTCAATTATCTTCATTGCCTATCCATTTGTATCATTCTGATCACAAATGTCAGCATAATGAATAAAAAATCTAACGGTTATTGTGCAAAGATCTATTTCAAATTTTTCAACATTTAATCTTCCCCCTAATATAATAGTTTCAAGTAGGTGAACCTCAAAAGTTTCGAAGCTCTCCACAGTAAAGCGTCGGCTTAGTGGTCAAGGCGTTCGACTTTCAGCCACTGAGTCGGTCAGAACCCTGTTTCACCTGCCCCGACCTGGGCAATCGGGTAGTACATTATCTCATACCTGTAATGTGGCTCACGTTTAATGAATGAATTTATTTATCTGTTATGTTCTTATATCCTTTTTTTATATTAAAAATTTACTCACTTCAGTCTGCTTCAGGGACTATTTTCTATGTTGAATATTCCTTCGACTGGGTAATATTTTTTGCTTCGAAGTAGCTAGTTGGAAAACGTTAACCAAAGTATTAAGATAATACATTACGGAAGTATTCCACCAAATTTTCTTCGATATTGTCCTTTTTAATTTTTAAAGCGTAGTTCTTTTTGTTTGTATATGTACAATCATGGTGATGTTCTTTGATCAGTTACTTATACATTTGGATGTCGTTTATATTCAGTTAACGTGTTTGAGTCACTAAAGTGCAAATCCGAACTTCACTCTACTTTTATCGGTCTGGGTGACTGGACAGCTTCAATAACCAGCATACATAAAATGTAGCTCAAAGCCGAGTGCACGTATCTGTACTTTGTAATTTAGTTAATAATAATATCTTTCGTTTCGAAAAGTTAGTTGTGTCTGTTTGCGGTATTCACTAGTTATTATTAAAGCTGAATCACCAGCTTCTTTCGGAAAGTAATACTAGTGAATAAAATATTTTCGTGTTTATCTAGGCAAACTAGTCTGCATCATGTAAATTGAGCCAGTAATTAGAGTTTCACAGATTGACATGCTTAATTTCCTTGCGAATATATTACTCTAGTCCCAGTCATTTCTGTGTGCTTTCATAATAGATAACTGCAGGAGCTCTCTTACCATTACTGCTAGCTTTTAACTCTACATTTTTACTATATATGGAACATTTTTTCTTCAGGTTATACCTCAATTGAAGTCCGTTCATTTTGATCTAAATGAGGGAGACAATCGAGTATCCTCAGTGTCTAATATACACCAAAATGCAGTATCACAACTCCAGGAACTTTTGGATATGCATGACAATTGTTCTTATCTCCTAGAATTGCACCAGGCCATAAATAGCTTCGAGTCTTCAGTCAATCAACTGTTATACCAATGTTCACGTCGTTCGGTCGTTGATAAGAAAAAGAAATGGGAAGACACAGTTGTAAAATCTCCCAAAGACTCAGAAATTGATTTAGAACTCGATGATAAATGTGTGGAAATAGATGAAGAAACCTATCGGTTAGTAATCATTCTTATTCATTTAGTGTATTTCGGAATATCCCTTGAAAAAATATCTTTTGGTATCCAGACCATAACAGTGTTTGTACTAACAGAACAAATTACAGTGTTTAATTAAAAGCCTCTTTGTATGGAATACCGATTTCTTCCTACAAGCTGCAGAATAAACATCCAAGTGCGACCTCTGAAGAAAACCATCTCACGAACCATTATTATTTATTATTATTATTATAAGAAGCTTTATTCAACATTATACTTTTCGTACAACATAGAATTCTCAGCATAAAGTATTTCAACAAGTTTCTTTTTCTTATATCTTGATCGATTGTGACGATAAATTTCGAATGATGACCAGTTAGATTTTAGGAATTCGATAATCCGCATTTGATTAATGTTTGTTCGTTTCAATGCATATTGCCAGCCACCATGATGTCGCTGATTGTACCTTTCTGTATCCCGTATAGCGAAAGGTTGTAAACTTTTCATAAACGCGCCCGAATAGATTGTGAGCACAATAGACATATTGATATGCTAAAACGAACAACAAAACAGATAACTTGAAGAAATATATAGATCGAAGGAACAGGTAGCCCAGATATTCAAGCAGGCCGCCTATTTTTACTTTTGAGATATCCCATTTTTATTTCTGGTTTAATGTGGTAGTTTACGACCGTCAAAACTCAGGTCTATGCGATTACTTCTATTCACTATTGAAATGTTCGACTAGACAAATTTGTAACAGTATAGCTTTTTAATTGTTTTCTACGTAGTTAAATCTGCTTCGGAAAACAGAAACTTTTAAACCAAACTAGAAAATCATTCACATTTCATGCTTAGTTATGCTATTCAAATTCTTTTATTTCTGAAGTTAAACATTTCGCTTATAACTTTACGGGTCGCACGATTTCCGTGTAATATTTTAATCCTTTAAAGCCAGTTTAGTGTTAACTCTGACTAACAGGCATGTTTCGGAGTACGCAACCGTACGAACCTTCAGTTTTATTTGTTTTACGAATTGATTCGGGTTAAAGCCTGATTTCCAACAACAAATCTGGATAATGTTGCATACGTTCTGTAGACATTATACAACTTGCGCGTCTAACATTAAACGATGCCGGAAATATTTTGATATTTCTTTTAAGCTCATTTGAACTATCTAAAGTAATATCTGACACAGTGTGGGCCTTGTGTCAGTCATAAGCAACGTAAAAACTTTGGATTAATGTCACTCAGTTCAAGTTGGTACAGAGCATCTGTACAGTGAGATAAAATCATAAAGATAAATATCGAATTAACAAAAGTAGTCATATTGATCGTAATAAAACAGATGTAACAACGAATATGATTCAAGAAGAAACAATTAATTCGCAGAATAAAAGATATAAAATAACTTCAGAATTCAGGATCAAGAGGAGTACAAACAGTAAATAAATCTATCCCATTGCCACTAATTTTAAATTATATTTTCCAAAGTCTTCAATGATCAATCACGTTAGTCATACGAATCTCAATCAGTTAGTCTACATCTGGTAACATATCTCAGACGAACAATCGAAAGCTTCATAGATTGATGCTTTTCAAAAAAAGTTATTTAACACTATCCATACTAAGTGTCAAACAAATTCAATATTTTAATCTGCCTATTACATCATTTCGTTGTGTATATGTGCGTGTATGTTACTATTTTTAGTTTATCATTGTAAAATATACAACTTTTTGTTCCTTCGTCTTACCTAGTTTATGTGTTGATACTGTGGTAACATCACTTGAAGAATCTGAACATTTATTTGCGAAACATAAAAAGTTTAGTAAAGATGTAGTACTTGTCTTTCAAAGTTGTCAACAAACATTTACACGTTGCAAGGTATTACGGTTGTTTCTTTTTGTTTTTCCAACTCATAATATTATTGTCTACCATTTTTTCATTATGTATATTTCATGATATTAGGCTACTCATAGATTTATTTGTATTAGTGACGGTAAACGCATAATAAGCCGTGACTACGATAGTTTACTTATTAGTTATTTTTGTTTAAACACACCAACTTCGGTACAACGAGACACCAAATATATGTGCCATACAAATCGACTTTTGTGAGGGATGGGGTACTTCCCTGGTGCTCAAACCGAATCGGGTGGTTTTCTTAGAGGGCTACTCCCCGAGCCTTTGACCTAAAGGTCTAATACACAGGGCAGTGGAGCAACGTAAGGAGATGCAGTCCCATTGTAGCCGGTCACCAACAATTGGTTCATACACTATTTATTCCTTCAGAATCCTGGATCCCATGTGCACTGATGGTTTGGAATCAGTGTTTTCCAACTCCCCGAGATGGACTCTTCGTATTCAACAATCATATTAAAGCACCGGACATTTGCTTTTCGTCCTCTCAATTTCGTGAACAACATCCCTGCTGCGAGAAGACAGTGAGTAAGACTTCCCTGCCAGTGGTTGTATGCACGTGACCATGTGAGAGCATTTGGATAGGTAGAGCTAACTCTTCTCAGGGCATTTTGGGGTTATCGACGTCCAAACTGTTCTTTTTCACTACTAGTACAGTGTAGGATTAGGTTGGAAAAACGTTAGGAGTGTTCAAATCAAGACTTGACATGGATCCATGAAGTTAGTGACTGTTGAACCGAGCCATGTTGATAAGTGCAGATTGTATTGTTTAAGGTCCGCGTAATTTTCAGAATTAATAATTAGAGAATAAATCTGAGTTGTATGGCTTAGAGTAGTTTGCAATGGCCCATATCCATTCACTTTATTGGGGATGTCCAATCCCTAAAAGTTCATCTTGTGAAAAATGGAAACAGTATTGATGAAAATGAATTTCTGTTGCATTAAATTATTTAGTGTGAACTTTGCTCATGGACTTTCAATACAGTTTTGCTGATTTCTATATTGTGACAAATAATCAGTTCAGTACTTTTATTCATTGTAATTAATACATGGTCGAATAACTAAATTGTATCTTCGTAATAATATACTGGGTTCATCATCAAAAGGTTTCAATTATTAAACTGATCTTTCTATTCTAGTTATTCGGGTGGAAAGTAGTCTCGTTCATTTCATTAAAGTCAGAGTTGTGAGATTTTAGCATAGGACATGAATTAATCACACTCTCTTCCATCCTCTAGGTACTAAGTTTCTTAATTATATTACTAAAATCCTTTTTTTACTCCAGAAATCCTTATTTTCTTCATGAATCGTATCTGAAATCTCCAATCCTTTTTAATACTACTAATACTGCTGCTAACTATACTACTTTGGCATATCGCTTTGCTGATGTAGTTTGACAGCTTGAGTTAATACACATATGAACCAAGTTCTACATTCCATTTGACTAACCACTCAGCACAGTCTTGTTCATTTATTTATTTAAACACATAAACATTGGTAAAAAAAGAGCACTGAAATATAAGTGCGCTACAAAAAGTAGTTATCACTAGATTTGTGTCGGCTTGGACACTTTCGAGTGCCCAAACCGGAACAAGTAGTTATTTTAGGAGGCCACTATCTGAAATTTTGAGTTAAAGGTCTGATCCACAAACAAGGAAGTGGAGCAGCGTTAGAAGATGCGATCCCATGGTATCCGGTGACCAACAATAGGTTTATACGCCATTTGTTCTCTCAACATCCTGGATCTCATCTGTTCCATTGGTTTGAAATCAGTGTTTTTCAACTCCACTAATTGGAGCTTGTTTAACAGAAAACTACTCAGGTTCAGTTTTATTGAAACTACAGATACTGTTTGCTAAAGCCTACTGAAACTATTCTATTTGCATCCCAGTTTTTTTGAAGAATAATTCACTATATTGTAACTGTGTAAATTCTACATTTTTCAAACTTTGTATGTTTCATTATATTTTATTTTCAGAATCGTCTTACTCAACATGTTGATGATCTTTGGCGTCGATGGATCATCCTAGAAGTTCCTTCAAAACATCAGAATGTATCTTCAAAGTTCAATGTTAATAATATATATCCTTCTATTCGTGGACAACTTCAGCCGAATGATTTTTTCAGTTTTTTATTCGATGCTTGTATACCATCACCTACTGATATGTGTAAATCTTTAAGACAGCCGAGTTATACATCCAATTCCGTTTTTTATGAAGTTTCTGATCATGATGTGCCGACTACTCAATCATACGGGGAATCCACTGTTTTAGCTAGTCTCAAAATATTGGCTAAACCTGGATTGATCTCTCAGTTGTTACGTATTATTGATGCTTTAAAAGAGTCTAAGGTTAGTGAACTATATCTTTTCCATATAGTTATTGATGGTGTGGGGGAGTCGTATCGATCTCAGTTAACTATTAGGCTGAATTACGTGATAGAACTCCAAACTTTCTCATCTTCACTACTGATCGCTTTCTTGACATGTGACGAAGATATTTCGATATCACCTGGCAATTTAATCGTTACAAACAAGGTTGTTAAGGCTATAATTCACGCACGAACAAATTAAATTAAGGATAGCAAGTCTTGGATTTTGGCCCGAAATTCACTTATCCAAATGGTTAAGTATCATTATGGCATTGTAATTGATGTCATTTTTTGATGAAAACCCTGACTTTAGAGATGATGGAGAAGATTTGTAGCTCAGGTGGATAATTTTGGTGGAGTTTTGTTCTCTTAGCTGGATGGTTTGGTCGTGGAGCTTTCATCGTTCTGAAAGTCTGAAGTTTCTGCTGATGATGTCGTTCAGAAGAACGATGAAAGCTCCACGACCAAACCATCCAGCTAAGAGAACAAAACTCCACCAAAAAAAACCTGACTCTAATTCCCAACCCTAACCTCACACCTGTTACTCGTGAAGCACAAGGCACCGACAGGGAATCTCCAAACTACTTTGTCCCGCGGGTGAGACTATAATTTATAGACGACCTTTGAGCGACGCCCATTGACCTTGAGTGTCTACTTACTAGCGCTAAGTGAGGGTTATAAAGTAGTTTGAAGAATAAGGATTATGACTCACAGTTGCTGGTTAGGGTTAGGAATTAGATTTATCATGCAATTGGTTCCCTTTATGAATTTAAATAGAGCAAGAACAAACATTGATGCAGAATGGTATGGATTCATATTATTTCGAGGTTTCTCGTCAGCTGCTTACAAACCAAAATTGTGATAGAATTTTTACATGGAGATAGTGTGAGACAATTGACATAAATGAGTGTAAATAACTTGACTACAATAATAACTATATATATATATGCTAGAAACAGGTCAGAGGTCAAAAGAGGGGGGTTAATCCAGGGTGGGTGGTGTAATAATTTAGTGAAGTTCATAAATTGTGTGATAATTGTAGAGATTAATGGAATTAAATAATGATAAGGTAGATTACGTAATAATAATTAAATAGGGTTTGGAAAGTTAAGATGATTTAAGAGGATCAGGTGGTGGAAATGTGTAAATAAAATTTATTTTAAGAATTAGGTAATAGGGGGTATAAAATATCTTAGAATAAGTAAATGAATAAAATAACCAAAACACAAAACAAACAGAAACAAAAAGATTACCAGGGTAGTGATAAGTTTATTAAAGTCTCTTTTTGGATGCATAAGTCCGGTTTCAGTTTCTTAATTGCAATGGCTTCAGCAAAGCGGAGAGTGGTAGTAGTGTTTTGTCTATTGATGATTTTAAACGCGCGCATAATATCGACGGTATGCCCGGTGTCAAGTAGATGCCGAGCTATTGCACTGTTAAAAGCTTTAGTCCCTCGCAGCGTCAAGTTCTTCGGAATATGCTCAGAAATGCGAACCTGTACTCTTCTCTCAGTTCTTCCAATGTATGTGCTACGGCACGTACATGTGAATTGGTAAATGCAGTTGGAGCAACTGAGGGGAGAGGACTTGTCGATTTTCGTTTGTTTTAGTGAGCAGTATGTTTTCCATAACGTAGTCAGTTTGGCTGCCGGGTAGGTCACTTTTAAAGCGGAATTAATTCTGTGATTGATAATTCCGGCGACTTCATCTCCTTTGAAGCGCAAGGATAGGAAGCAGGTTTTCTTTTCAACTGTATCATGCTTAATCGGAGGGTTTGTATTAGCATATTTGTGGATGAATTTATCCGGATATGCATTTTCACGTAGGCATTTGGTGATTGTAGTAATTTCTTCTTCGAGGCATTCTTTTGAGCAGATTTTTCGTGCGCGGTCAAAAAGGTTTCGCACAATACCCTTTTTATAACTCATTGGACAGAAGCTGTTAAAATTGAGATAAACTCCGCTCCAAGTATTTTTGCGGTGAATGTGTCTTTGTAGTGTGCCATCTGATGTTCGCCTAATTCCAATATCTAGGAAATGGAATTTATCATCAACTTCATGTTCCATGGTAAATTCTATATCTTTGTGTACTTTACTGAACAGACTAAGTAGGTACATGGAGTGTTGGTGATTTTTGCAGACAAGGAACGTGTCATCCATATATCTGCAGTAGAGTGTGGTACTGTCGATTGCGTGCTTCAGTTTCTTTTGTTCCAGATGTCCCATAAGTATGTCGGCAAGAATTGGGCCTAGAGGGCTGCCCATTGCTATTCCATCAATCTGTCGGTACAGAACATTGTTAAATTTAAATTGTATGTTTTTTGTACTCAAAAACAGGAGCTGTTTAAATTCCTGGGGTGGTAAAGGCAGGAGTTCTGGATATTCACATATGATCTCTGCCGTTTCTTCCAAGGGGATATTTGTGAAAAGCGAAGAGACATCAAATGAAACCATGAATTTGTCAGAGACATTAACGTTATCAAGTTTTTGTACAAATTCAAAGCTGTCTTTCAAACTGTAGGCTGCTAGTTTTTTGCGGATTGGTTCCAAGCATCTAGTAAGCCAGCGGGCAAGTTTATGGAAGGGTGATTTGGCCATACGTATAACGAACTTAAACCAAAAGGGTCACAATTTCCATACTTATATGGGCTACCCAAAACACATAAACCCGACATCCCTATAAGACCAATATTATCGATGGACAAATCACCCTTCCATAAACTTGCTCGCTGGCTTACTAGATGCTTGGAACCAATCCGCAGAAAACTAGCAGCCTACAGTTTGAAAGACAGCTTTGAATTTGTACAAAAACTTGATAACGTTAATGTCTCTGACAAATTCATGGTTTCATTTGATGTCTCTTCGCTTTTCACAAATATCCCCTTGGAAGAAACGGCAGAGATCATATGTGAATATCCAGAACTCCTGCCTTTACCACCCCAGGAATTTAAACAGCTCCTGTTTTTGAGTACAAAAAACATACAATTTAAATTTAACAATGTTCTGTACCGACAGATTGATGGAATAGCAATGGGCAGCCCTCTAGGCCCAATTCTTGCCGACATACTTATGGGACATCTGGAACAAAAGAAACTGAAGCACGCAATCGACAGTACCACACTCTACTGCAGATATATGGATGACACGTTCCTTGTCTGCAAAAATCACCAACACTCCATGTACCTACTTAGTCTGTTCAGTAAAGTACACAAAGATATAGAATTTACCATGGAACATGAAGTTGATGATAAATTCCATTTCCTAGATATTGGAATTAGGCGAACATCAGATGGCACACTACAAAGACACATTCACCGCAAAAATACTTGGAGCGGAGTTTATCTCAATTTTAACAGCTTCTGTCCAATGAGTTATAAAAAGGGTATTGTGCGAAACCTTTTTGACCGCGCACGAAAAATCTGCTCAAAAGAATGCCTCGAAGAAGAAATTACTACAATCACCAAATGCCTACGTGAAAATGCATATCCGGATAAGTTCATCCACAAATATGCTAATACAAACCCTCTGATTAAGCATGATACAGTTGAAAAGAAAACCTGCTTCCTATCCTTGCGCTTCAAAGGAGATGAAGTCGCCGGAATTATCAATCACAGAATTAATTCCGCTTTAAAAGTGACCTACCCGGCAGCCAAACTGACTACGTTATGGAAAACATACTGCTCACTAAAACAAACGAAAATCGACAAGTCCTCTCCCCTCAGTTGCTCCAACTGCATTTACCAATTCACATGTACGTGCCGTAGCACATACATTGGAAGAACTGAGAGTCAGTCAGTCAGCTACAACGTAGGACCAGGCACATGTATGCATCGGCCCAGGTTGCCATACCTCATTAGCACAGCAAGATGAACACCGGATTCATAGGAGTGGTTAGGTCAAAGGTGGTAATATATAGGAGAAAGATTGCAATAAGGATATAGTATAGGAAGAAAGAATTAGTTCGTAGAAAGAAAGATGTGAAGTGATCTTAATCTCTTAGTTTAAGAGAAGACAGAGAGTGTATACACCGACGCCATTGTGATCGATTCTGAGCCATGTCACCAAGGGTCTCCAACCATTGGTTACGAAAGTCACGCGGACCCCAACCAAGTAGTCTGCATCTACCAACATGGCTCAGACTAGAAGTTAGTGACTTCAGGCACTGATGCCACGTTTTGGTTTGGCCGCCCCTAACTTTCTTCCAACCATCCCCTACACCGGTTAGCATTGCACGTCGCGGTAATCGGTGTTCAGGCATACGTAATACGTGGCCCAACCATCTCAGTCGATGAAGATTCATAACCTCATCAACTGATTTACCATCATTCCCTAATACCCTGCGTCTAACCTCACTATTACTTACCCGGTGATCCCAGCAGATGCCAGCAATATTTCTAAGGCATCTGTGGTCAAATACTAGTAGCTTACGGGTGTCTTCTACTCTTAAGGGCCATGTTTCGCTGCCGTAAATTAAAACAGAACGGACAGCCGCGCAGTATACTCGTCCTTTTATTGATAGACGGATATCTCGCCTCCGCCAAAGGTGACGTAAGTTGGCAAAAGCCAAACGAGCTTTACGAATCCGTGCTGAGATTTCGTCAGACACCAACCCATTAGGGCTGATCAGACTTCCAAGATAAGTGAAGTTGTCAACACGTTCGACTACTTCACTCCCTATCCTTAGTTCAGGTGTTGACGCAGACCAGTCCTGAAGCAACAACTTGCATTTAGAGGGAGAGAAGCGCATCCCAAACATTCTGGCATTGTTGCTTAGTGCTACCAGAAGACTCTGCATTTTGTCAGCGTCTTCACCAAACAGGACTATGTCATCTGCATATTCTAAGTCGATAAGTGGACCTCCTGGAAGGAGATCAATACCCGAGAATTCAGTCGACGAGAGTGTTATTTCCATCAATAGGTCTATGATGAAGTTAAACAAAAATGGAGAAAGTGGGCAGCCTTGACGGACACCACTTGAGGTTGCAAAAGTAGATGACAGTTCGCCATAAGCCCTGACTCGACTAGTAGTGTTCGAGTAAAGAGCCTTCACAAGGTTTATGTACTTCTGAGGTACGCCTTTCAATGACAGACACTGCCACAGAGTCTCGCGGTCTACAGAGTCAAATGCTGCTTTTAAGTCAAGAAAGACCACCATCGTCGGACGCCGATAGGTATGCCTGTGTTCTAGAACCTGACGAATGGTGAATATGTGGTCGATGCAGCCACGACCAGGTCTAAAGCCAGCTTGGTTCTCTCGTGTTTGTAGTTCACGAGTCTTAGTTAGGCGTTTGATAATTATCGAGGCCAGTATTTTAGATACTATGTTTGTTAAACTAATCCCTCTGTGGTTGTCACAGGATGATTTTGACCCTTTCTTATATATTGGGACGATAAGTGATTGCGACCAGTCAGATGGGATAACGTCTAATTCCCAGATCTTAGCTAAAATATTAGTCAACCTAATCGCTAAAATTGGACCACCATCCTTAAAGACTTCTGGAGCCAATCCATCTGGACCAGCTGCCCTTCCTCGTTTCAGATTAACTATAGCCTTCTCAACTTCAGCAAGAGTTGGGGGACCTACTTCAATGTTCCATTCACTTTGTCTGGGAATGGAGGGTAGTTGTAGAGTAGCTGAAGGCCAGCTGAACTGTTCTCTAAAATGTTCCGCCCATCGTTCTAAACGTCTGGACTGGGAGCAGATGAGAGTATCATCTTTTTCCGAAATAATCTCACTTACACTTGACTTATTAATTCCAGTTTCTTTTATTAGTCTGTAAAGCTGTCTTGTGTTCCCTATAGTCGCCGCCTTTTCCATCTCTTTTGCTTTCGTTACCCACCACTGCTCACGGTCGTTCCTTAGACTTTTTCTTAACCTAGATCTGATTTGTTTACGCTCTTCATCATGTTCAGAACCTGATGGGACGAGTTTGCGAGAATCCATCAGTGTGACAGACCTTGAAGAAATCCACTGGTTCCTTGTAACTCTGTGGTTTAAGTCACTAATAGATGTCACTGCTGTTTCCACAGCTGCTTGTATGTCCTTCCAAGCAACATCTGGGTCAGCCTCGTCTTCACAACTACCTAAGTGTGACCTCAGTTGTTCCTGGAACCTACTTTTGGTTTTCTCGTTACTCAACTCAGTTCTAATGGGTCTTTTTAATGTGGCTTTTTTGCGTCCAGTGAGGCGCAAGCAGATGCGTGCCCGTATTAGGGCATGGTCGGAGTCCAAGCAGGTACTCCAGAATGAGCGACAATCTTCTACCGACCCTCTCCAACGATGACTGATGGCAATATGGTCTATTTGAGTCCATCGTTGGTTTGGTGTAGGGGGTCGCCATGTTAGACGATGTCTCTCCTTATGCTTAAAATTTGTGTTTGCTAAAAATAAACGATTGTCTGAGCATAGCTGCAGCAGACGATCACCATTATCTGTTCGCTGTGTCGGAATACTAAAATATCCACCTAAATGCCTTTCTGTTTGGTTTAAACTGCCTATCTGAGCATTAAAATCACCTGCTACGAGTACTATGTCTGAGCGTTTAGCTTTCTGAAGAAGTTCGGATAGCTTTCTGTAAAATTCATCTTTCACTTCATCTGAGCTGCAGTCAGTGGGAGCGTAGGCAGAAACGACAAAAAGGCAACGACGTGTGTCCCTATCCTTCCGAGTTCTTACGTAGCCGTTCAGCCGAACAGCACATAGACGACTGTTGACGGGGATCCACTCTAGCAGTGCTTGTTCGGCCCTCATGCTTAGTGCTATGCCTACACCTGCCAGTCCACGAGAACTTGCCATCGGGTCACCAGACACACGAAGGGTGTATCTCGTTGGCTCTCCGTCTTGCCGAGGTGAGGTCAAGTGAATGACCACACTGGAATCCTGTATGCGTGTTTCGGAGACACAGCATACATCAATGGAAAGAGACTCTAGGGTTTTAGCCAAGGAAGCCTGCTGACCGATTTGACATAGGGTGCGTACGTTGAAGGCTCCAATGTGTAGTTTGGAGCGAGGTTTCAGTAGACCTGGGACAGTGTTTTGCGCACTAGAATCGTTGGCTACGGTGACACTTGAGGTGGAAGCCGAGAGAGGAAATATAGAGTTGAAAGTCGATGTAGGAGGAATAATAGGAATTGAAGAGGAGGTTGATTATGAATACAGTGGACTTGAGTGCTGTTAGAAGTATGAGGGCGGTTATCACTTCCCGGTTGCCCACACCGTGGAAGGGTTCTTCTGGAGGTACCTGAAAAGGAAATTGGATTAAAGGTGGTCTTAGTGAACTGAGAGCGTGACCGCAGTGCCCAAGGGACAACTGCTTGAGGTCGGTCACACACGACCTTGTTATGGGTAATTTTTGTGTTAGCTCCGTACTTATTGAGACCTTACCGCCGGAGACGGATATCCGTGGGATAAGGCGAGGTGTGCATTTTTAGGGTCGACCTTTTCTAACCCCACCCCTCCTTGTGGGAAGGCAGCATCGCTGTCATGCTGGTTGTCTGAAGGAAACACCTTACTGCTGTCACACCTCTGTACAGTCAGCAGTACGACTTCGCCTTCGGACCTTGGGTTTGTTGCTTTTAGTCTTACCGCTCTTCAACCGACCTGTCTGACATGGTAGGACCTTGAGGAACGGTTGTTCCAGCCAGTATAGCTCGGTTGCTTCATCACGATAGGCAAGCCCGACCACCACGTCAAGGTAGCAACAACGGTCGGGTACTGAGAGAAGAGTACAGGTTCGCATTTCTGAGATCATATATTAAGCGTATATGATTCTTTAATTTACTTAACTCCTTACAGTGAATGTAGTATGGAAAAAAGATTGAGGATTGGTAAACTAAAACATTACACTATATATTGTGAGGTAAAATCAGCATGACAAATAAAATTGATAATCGAACACTATGTTGTAACCTGAATCTTAGTGTACTGGAACATTTACATATCATTTTTTTCATTTTACTTTAAGTCTTAACATTTTTTTGATTTCTTGTGACTAAGTAAGTAGTTGGTTTTGATACTGAACTTCCTCTTGGTCAGTGACACCAAGTGTAGTAACCGAGAACTCAGATGAGAAAGACCAATTTATTGTTTAATGTAAAATTACAGAATGCTTTGACAAAACATTAAAACCCATACATTGAATACATCATTTGTCCTTCACATGCTTCATGATTCTTTCAATTTTGTTGTTAATAAAATTTACTTTCTGTTTTCTTCAATTGAGTCTTCTCAATTTTCTGCTAACATGCATTGCATTTCTGATTCGTATTACTTACTACTTATATTTGTCAACATAAGTAGCATACACCACAATACTACCTAGTTGCTCGAACTAATGTATGTTAATTTAATTTCGAATCTATGATCCAGCTGAAATTTGAATACTCTAATCATATAGTCACCACAAATTATGAATATATAATTTTATACAAGCCATTTTCAATCTTTATGTGTTACCTTCTTATCGTATTACCTGTTTTCTGGTTGCCTTACTCAGAAGTGTGCCAACTTTAATCAAAACACGTTTCATGCTTGTTATTACACAGTTTTTGTCTGTCTCTATTTCTCCTCTAGTAATGTTTAATGCAGTGACATTTGATTGTATAGTACATAACCATCATATTTGTTAGTTAGATGTTTGTTAGCAGCAAGTTTAATAAAGGTTGTCTTTTTTAGATTTTGTGTAGATTGTAAATAAACTTTGACTGAAACAATTGATAAGTGGTTCATACTCGTCAGATATCCACCATACAATGTAACTGATATATACTAAAGCTGACAATACTTGGAAAATGAAACCTTAGTATAGTCTAAGGAAGATAATCTATCTGTCTGTAAATTGACTAGATTAGATTAAGACATCATATCGAATTATTCTTATAATCAAGATCGTTTCTATAGAATGTCACTAGATTTTATAAAAAAATTCTCCTTTGTTTAGTTACTTGAAGGCATTTCGTATTTGACATTTATTTGTTTGATGGGGTCGGGATTAATATATCAGCAACGATATTCTTCTTTTTGGTTCTTTACAGAGTCGTATACTTGAATTGGCTAATCAAATTTGGACGTATATATTTAAACCTTGGCTAAAAAGGTACCTTGTGTGTCGGGATCAAATGTCGGCTGGGGAAAATTAAAGGTTGGTTTTTATCTTATGGTTGTTTAACTTTCTCATTTGATACGGTCTTTTTCATTGACGTAACTGTCATTCGTTCGTTCCATGGAGTTTTGTGTGTTTTATGGTCAACGATAGAAATCATAGTTCATGATTGTTAACACTTACACCAGTAAAGTGTTGTTTGGAAACACATGAATGTTGATCAATTAGTAGTATAGTTAGAAACATAGTCATTATACTTGCGATTTAGTCTGTGACTGAACTCTATTTTGATTGCATCGTTTTTCAGATGTTCGTGGAATTATTAACATATTAAAACATAACAGTCAGATTAATGACACTGGCATTGAATGTCAACTCCCATCTCAATTAGTGTCCCTTTATTTGCTCTAGTGTTAATGGCGATCAAGTGTTACTTAAAACTGTCTCACTATCTTTTTAGTTATCGGAAAGTTTGTGAACCACTCGGAAATAGTGTATTACTATATTGTCTCTGTACCAAATCGTTGAATCCATACCTTTTTTTCACTTAATTACTATTTAACATCTCGATGTGAAAATAATCCCTGCACATAGTATTTGCTCTCAAGTTTATAGTTGTCGTTTCAGTAGTTTCGTGCATTGGTTAATTTATTTTTTTAACTCCATAAATATTGGTACAAATGGGCACCAAAATAAATATGTGCTACACAATAAGAAAATGGATAGATAGGGGAAGGGAAGTGCGTATATTAGGTAGAAAAAACAATAAATAAAACTAATGAATGAGATTTGTAAATAACTTACAAGTAGAGCTGAGTGGTGAACTCCAGGACCCGCATTTCATCCTATTTGGGACTCTTCAGTCGAATGCACCTGGCACATCCCAAAGTCGATATCAACTTCAGGACTGGAACCCAGTACCGTTCGCTTCAAACGTCAGTGGGAAGACTCAGACAATCAATACAAAATGAATTAAAACTTCACTCCATTGCACAAGCCAGTGGCTATCTGAACTCAGTAGCTAAGTGGATAAATTGGTGGCGTTTGAAGTGAACGGTACTGAGTTTGAGTCATTAAGTGAATGTCAACTCTAGAACGTGGTAGGTACATCCAGCTAACGAGTCTAAAATAGAAAGAAATGATTCACTTCTTGGATTCCATCGCTAGTCATCATTCATCTCTGTTCATAATGTTTAAAATGAAATTTGATGATGTTATTAACAATTTTATTATCTTTTTTTCTATTTGTTGTTATTGTATTATTTTTATAGTGTCAAATAATTGAACAATCTGTAAACATCGAATCAGATCATGAATTATTTATCAAAGAAATAGGCCTAGAAACAACCGATAATGATGATGTTTTTATGACTCAATATTTACGTTTAACATTAATTGCTCCAAATACTCCTCCTCCTAATACTACTACAACAAATCCTAATGAAAATAATCATAATCATGATGACGAGGATGATGATGATGATGATTTAATCTCTAGTTCATGTAATCAATTAACTAAAGTATTTCAAGAATTGTATACTTATCTATTTGGTTTACAAGCAATTCAATCAGACAATAAACGTTTTATTGATATAATTGTAAATAATAATATTGATAGTGATTCAGGAATGTTCAATAATGAATTAGTTAAAGATTTAATTGATGGACGTTTTAATGCTGGTTTACCATCAGCTGAAAAATTACATAAATCAGAGATAATTGCAATATTAACACAAGTTGTTCTACGATTAATTAGTGTTGGTCGAAATACTGGATTTTTAATAGATGATATTAATCACCTTCATGATGATGATGATCATGATCATGATAAGATTGATTCATTTAAAGTATCAGCTATTGGTGGTGCAACAAAATTAAATCTTTGGATTGATAGTCTTTCTATATTAAAACATAAACGATCAGCGAATGCAATATTAGAAGAATTACGTGAATTATTAGCTGATCGTAAATTATTTTATTCAATGTGTTCAACTAATAGTTTAGTAAAAGTATGTGAAAAAAACGCTACAACTACAACAACTAATTTCACTACAAAACATAATAATAATAATACTGATGAAGGTATTTATGAAGAGGATGACTTAATATTGGACGATTTTATCGAGAATGATACCATTGAATTGGAATATTCAGATAAAACTAATAAAAATGATCAATTTTATCGAAACTATTAAAATCCAAAGGTAATTTGGATAATATTTCACGGCATTTAGATCTAGGACAATTTGATTTTCCTGATTGTATGGTAAGTAATGACTTGATGTATTGTCCTGTTGGTCTTTGGTCCGATCAATAATTCCCTACCCTTAATCCGCAGCTTTATTTTCACAGTCATAACATGTCCTCTAATTATTGACATGTGTTGTATTTATCTGTTTATTGATTATTCACTTACTTGAAGAATCTATTTTCTTCTTTTACCTTCAACTCTGATGGGATTATTGGCACCTGACAATTCACAGTTGAAGATTTACAAACTTCTTGGTTTATATTGTCATCGAATGTTTTCAAAGATTCTAATCCAACTATCGAGTTACGCTTGAAATCCTAATATTGAAATATAAGATTTTTCTGGAATTACAGTATCATTAAAGAAAGCAACGTAAACAATCAAGTTTGCAAAGCTGAAATCATAAGTCAGGTATCCAGGTGTCAATAGTGTAATCAAAGACCCAGTCGAAACAAATAAGCATCCTTCAAATAATCATGTAAAAATTTAATTACAACACTCACTATTCAAAATTGATTAATCATTGATTACTGAACAACGTTATGTATGCCAAGTCGTTATTAGCGCTACTCATTTATTTCTGTCGATCAAGTTAAAATATGGCCACTGTTCTAAATGACTTGACATCTGATGTCTCAAACAGATAGTAGTGCTTAATCAAGTGAGAATCATGCTATGTTCAAAGCGAAATTCCATTAAATATTACACAATAAGGACGAAGAGAAATGGTATAACAAGTAAGGAAATATGCCAAAATATTGGATATAGTTGCTAGTATTAGAACTGGCGGTTCATAACTAGTGAAATATCACACATACCAGGTTCGGAAAATGATTGATAATAAGATAAACTAGCTAATACTAATAAGTAGTATATTTAATACACAAAAAGAATCGAGCAATAAAGAAATATTTATGTAAACCGTATTCAACAATCCTTTTATAATACTACCGTCATTAGATTTTTCTGTTAGAATCCTCAAATGGATTCTATATCGAGATTACAATGAATAACTATGGTGGGATACTAATTTTTACATACTGAAAATCGCAGTTACATAGTGTGTATGTGTGTGTATTGGCTTATTTTCACTAACATTCATTGGAAAGCCCACTGTTCTCGTTGAGTATAAATGTATCTATCTGTATGTCTGTTGTTAACCTTGTCTAATTATACTTCTATGAGTTGTAAAGAGTCATGGATTCACTGGGTGCTTCCTTAAATTTTATCTGGATCATATAGGATAATGGATGCCCCATGAATAATGTAGACAGGTTTATCTACTAATGCGAGACACCACTTGACATGATTCAACAGTGAAAACAACAGTTTAAATACATATGATCCTTATTTTATAATACTGTACACCTTACCATAATTTGCTTTTACAAATTCCAAGTAATTGATTCATTCTACTTTCAACCTTTATCTTTCTCGAACAATTTTTATCATGCTATGCACCACACATAACCTAGCATATATGCACATCAGTGCCAGTTGCCACACAAAATCAACACAGTGAATCCTAGAGTTATAGAGGTAGTAACAGTATTAGCGGTAGTAGAAAAGATTAGGTATAGACAATATAATTCGACAAGAGAATATGAATTGATTGAATAAAAGAGTAGATTTGAGCGGAGACAGAGGATGGATAAATCGGCAACACGGTCACTATTGAGCCATGTCACCCAACATCAACAATTGGTTACGATAATCTCACGGATCACAACCACGTAGTTTCGACCTACCGACATGGTTCATTCTAACAGTCAGTAATTTCATGAACTAATGCCATGTCTTGGTTTGACTGTCGAATACCTAAACATAAACTTACTTACTAAGGTACCTTGAGTAATTATTTACCTATTACTGACGATCGACTAGTTAGTGTGCAATGATCGAATTCTACCAACCAAATGACTCAAAATCTCATGCAATCTGCTGAGATGTTAGGTAGTTGACACTAGTCAACACGAAACCCTGAACCTAGATGCCATTTGGCACACGTCATCAAGGTATACTTGTGGTATTGATGGATCTGCTGCCCCTGGTGGATTCAACGCAATATCAACCTAGTTTCAAAGTTTGAAACTTTGCCACTTAGCTTATGAATCCCAAACAGCACGAAACTTAGATCCAGAGTTTCATACAGATAGCCTCCAACTACCCAACACTTATTACCTACAGTTCACACCCTTTTCTCATTTGATTCATCTTTCTTAATTCTCAAGACATTAGGTAATGAAAATACTACTATCATTTTAACACTACTTTAAAATTTTTAGTAGTACTAGTGAATCCTGAAGAGATATGATTTACTCGTTATTCTGAATTGTGGGCAAGAGGTAATGTTATCATGATATTATTGTAATTGAAACAAGTCAATAGTGGTTGTCCTAGTGAACTGTGCTTGAATCTTCGTTGGGCTTCAAACTCTAAATTATGAAATAGTGAAATAATATTAACATTTGTGTTGAAATGATACCCAATAGAGTCTTCGACCAACACATTACAAATTATCATATTACTTCTCTACACATTCTGGTTGTAGCGTGGATTATCTGATTCCAATAAATGAACTAAACCAACTCACCAATTCAGCTGGCTAATACATATTATATGAGGCATCCTCTCATCTTGACAGAACTGAGTAGTACTCCTAGTGTATGGAACGTTAATTCTGTTAGGTTTTTGTTTATATTTGAAGTTCAAAAGTGTGATCATATAGATAGGCAAAATTCTTAGTCGCAGCTGTTATCTTAACGTTATACTTAAATTTGCACATGGTAATGACCCTATCAACTTATATTAGCAGGAATATTCATTTTTACCAGGTTGTGCCATACCAGACAAGTTGATTAAGACTAAAATAAACAAATACAAGGTTGGAATAGTATAGTTATGCTGCCAACTGTCTAGGTGTGACATCAGCAAAGTATTTTCATCGGGAAACCAGCACCTACAGTGGTACTTCCCATGACGGAAGGAGGGGATTATAAAAGGTCGATCTTAAAAATACCAAATTTCACCTTACCCCATGGATTTCCGTCTTCGTCAGCAAGGCTTTACAAATATGAATCAGATTCACTTAAAACCACTCACAAAAGGACCATGTATGACTGATCTCAAGCAGTTGTCGCTTGAGCTCTGCGGTCACTTTTTCAGATGTTACTAAAACATCTAATCTAGTTTCCTTACCAGTTGATGAGAAGTATCCTTCAAAGATCTAGGCATCCAGGAAGTGACAACCTTCCCCACACATCTTGCAGCACACAAGTTGTACGACACTTACCGTAGCTTAGAAAACTATTTGATTACTTGAGGATCCCAACATAAAGTTTTTTTTCGATAAATGTTTTTAACACGTTTTACTAAATCATCATCACTGATAATTTTCAGTAGACAATGTAGATCGTTCATTCAGTTCATACTTGTATTTCCGTTAATTACATTTAAATCTATCCTTTGGATAACGTAAAACTGTATATTACTACTAGCTTTAATGGTTATTGCCGGTTTACCGCTAAAAAGGTACTATTTACTAAAATCAGTTGTAATCTATGTCAACATGATTGCTAGTATTCGGCCATAGGTACCTTCAAAGCATTGTCGTGTCTATTTTGATATCATCGAGTAAACAATGCCTGGGCTAGGAATAGAGTACTAGACAAATATGGTAAATCGATTGATGAAGTGGTAAATCTTCATCAACTGAGGTGGTTGGGACATTTGTTACGTATGCCCAAGTACCACCTACCTTGCAGGGCGATGTTGTCTGGTGTAGGAGTAGATTAAATGAAATCTAGGGAGGCCAAAACCAGAATATGACATCAATCTATGAAAAGATCAACAATTGGACTGAGCCATATCGATAGACGTAGATTACCTGGTTTTGATCCATGTGATTATCGTAATCAATGGTTGGACACTTTAAGTGATATCGCTTCAGATAGTTTACAATGACACAGTTACATCTATTCCTTGTCTTTGACTGTGAAACACACCGCTTCAAATCATTTGGAATGGCTCAGTTATATTTGTTCTGTGTCTTCCTCTAAATTCCGAGTTCTTAAATTCCTCATAAACTTTCTTGTTTCTATTCCATTAATTTTTATTTTCCTTTCAAGTTGTATTTTTCATATGTAAACTTTCCCGTTACCACTGACATTGTTACTATCTCTACTATTCCGGCATTTGAAGTGACATTTTTATCTCTGTGTGCTAATTACGTAGGACAACTTTTGGCTGATGTACATACGTACCGGGTTCTCAATCAGTTAGCTACAACGTAGGACCAGGGACATATATGCATCGGTCCAAGTTGCCACACCTCATTAACACAACAAGATGAACACCGGATTCATAAAAGTAGTTAATTCAGAGGTGTTAATATATAAAAGAAAGATTGCAATAAGGATATAGTACAGGAAGAAAGAATTATTCGGTAGAAAGAAAGATATGATGCGATTTTAATCTCTTAGTTTAAGCGAAGACAGAGAGTGTATACACCGACGCCATTGTGATCGATTCTGAGCCATGTCACCCAGAGTCTCCAACCATTAGTTATGATAGTCACGCGGACCCTAACCAAGTAGTCTGCATCTACCAACATGGCTCAGACTAGAAGTTAGTGGTTTGAAGCACTGATGCCACGTTTTGTTTTGGCCGCCCCTAACTTTCTTCCACCCATCCCCAACACCGGTTAGCATTGCATGTCGTGGTAATCGGTGTTCAGGCATATGGGACACGTGGCCCAACAGGGTTCTACGTTGTGACTGACTGTTTTTAATCATTACATTGTCGAGAATACCATGTAGAGATCCATGATTCTAAGCCATATTTAATCATAATATTATAACATGAAATAATATTTTATTATTTATTCATTAATTCTGATTTTTCATTATTGAAGGTTTCTGAAACTGTAGATCTTGTTATGAAACAAATTTATAAAATACTTCATGATTGTGAATCTTATCTTGAACCAATTATAAATGAAGTTAGTCAATCATTGAATGATACTCCAAGTACATTGAATTCAAAAAAATTAATACTATTGCATTTGTTGAATTTATCATCAAATTAATTCCTCGACTTATAATGTTATTTACATCACTTGTACCGACTTTACATGCGGATGTTTTTTCAAGGAGATTTACGTTTTGCTGGTAAGCTGTAGATATTTTATTTTTGAAGAATAATATCATCATACCAGATTATAGACTGTTCTTACTTCTATGATATACTTTACAATAAATCTGAATGGCTACATTAGACATAGTTGATCAATAAATCTTACGATAATGTCTTCCTATTACATATTGCACTACCGACCAAAAGTTTACCTGAATCAACACAAGAAATCGCCATTTTGTATTTTCTTTTTTTAAACCGTGCACTTAAAGTTGAATTCGATACTCTGAAACTCGTATTCTCAATGACACACAAAAATATTCTATAAATAGTCTACTCGTTTCTTACTAGAGTGGTTATAAAACTTGTACTTCCTCTTATATTCAGAATGGTTAGTGACTGAGTCATCATGAGTATAGTCACTGGGGTATAGTGCAAGTTTGACTGTTATTATTTTGTATTATCGCGTTACATCAGGAAAATACATCGACCCATTAAAATCATTTTTACCAAGTTTTGTCAGTTGTTTTATTTATTATTTATTTGAACATATAAATATTGGTATAAGAGGCCACCAAATACATATGCGCCACACAAAACAATGAGAATGGCAAGAGAAAAAAGGAAGTAAGGTGTGTATAAGAAGAAAAAAAAGAACGATTACGACCACAGACTAGTGTAAGGTAGTGTAATAATGATAATAAGAATAATGGGGAAAACGGAGAGGTGCAACCAGAAGAATTCTTTCAATTAAGGAAAATACAACCACTTTTTACGAAGAAAGTAAAAGAAGTTTACAGCAGGATCGCCACTGGCTTCTATTCTGAGCCATATCTGATAACATCTCTAGCCACTGTGTAGCACCATCTCTCGGATCCCAGCCAGAGAGTCGTGAAGGACCAACAGAAGCCGGCCTTTGCAACTTTCTTTCATGCCACGACACCATTTCATGTACTGATCACCTCTCCGCTTTTTTCAACCAGTCCCAGAGTCGGCAAATAATCCACGACGTGGAATTCTCTGGGACGACATTCGGAGAACATGTCCAAGCCACCGAAGTCGGTGTTTCAAGATGGTGACACCAATTGAATTATCATCTCTGTGCCCGAACACACGATGCCGAACCTCTGCGTTACTAACGTGGTGTTGCCACTGGATAACAGCAATCCTTCGGAGACAACGATGATCAAACACAGAGAGTCGTCTAACATCCTCAACTCGGAGAGACCAGGTTTCACAAGCATAGAGCAGAACTGGTCTCACCGACGCGTTGTAGATCCGACCTTTTACAGCCAGACTAACATCACGAAGGCACCAAAGGTGGCCCAGATTGGCATAAGCCGCTCTGGCTTTCATTATACGTGCATTGATCTCACTCACTCACACAACCACCAGCACTTATGCAGCTACCCAGATACACGAACTTCTCGACTACTTCTATCTGCTCACCATCCAGGGTGAGTACAGGATTGGAATCCTGCCAGTCTTGTAGGAGTACTTTGCACTTCGAAGGTGCAAAGCACATACCATACCTACGGACACTGATTGCCAACTGATTAAGTGCGGATTGCATGGCTTGAGCATTATCGCACAGTAAGACAATATCGTCCGCATACTCAAGGTCGAGAAGTCTTTCTCCATGCAACAGATCCACATCACCACTACTTACATCCATCAGATCTGTTTCCAGAATGTCATCGATGGCAAAGTTGAAGAGGAATGATGAGATTGGTCAACCCTGTCTGACCTGACTGCTTGAATGGAACAATGGAGAAAGGTGGTTGTATGCCCTCACTCTACCCGAGGTGTTTGTATATAGGGCCTTTAAGATGTTAATAAACTTCTCAGGTACACCATTCTTCAATAGACAATCCCAGAGAACAGTGCTGTCCAACGAATCGAAGGCAACCATGATGTCAAGAAACACTACGATTGTTGGCCTGTGATAAGTATGACGGTGTTCTAACATTTGGCGGAGGGTGAAGATATGGTCAATACATCTTCGACCAGAACGAAAATCAGCCTTTTCCTTGGGATTCAATCTTTCTCGAGGTTTTGAATAACCTAAAAAGTATGACGGAAGCCAATAGTTTGGACCCAAACGGAAGTAGATTTATCCTCCGATAGTTATTACAGGAACGACGTGAACTTTTTTAAAGATAGGGACAACTATCGACTCGTTCTATGATGTTCGTATACTCTCTAGTTCACAGACCTTTGTAAAGAACGTCGTCAGTTCCTTAGTCAGAAAGTCACCACCATCTTTAAAAAGAGCCGGAGGTAAGTCATCTGGGCCAGGTGATTTGTAGCGCTTCAAGAGTTGGAGTTTCGTAAGTATCGTCATTTCATTCTATTTGTGTGTGCTCTGTGATACTGCCCGAATGCCCAGACCGAAGTAGATGGTTTTCTTCTTATGCCACGTTTCAAGTCTTTGACCTAAAGGTCTGACCCACAAGGCAGTGGAGCATCCTGTGGAGATGCAGTGTCATGGTAGCCGGTGACCAACAATTGGTTCATACTTTGTTTATTCCCTCAGGATACTGGAGCCCTTGTGCACCATTGGTTTGGAATCCGGTTAAAGCGCAGGACAATCGCTCTCCGTCCTCTCATTTTCGTAAACAACATCCCCGTGGTGTGAGAAGGCAGTGAGCTGGACTTCCCTGGCAGATGCTGTATACGCGTGGTCGTGTTAGCGCATTTCGAGAGGGAGGTTGGGCCCACCCCACTCTCGGCCTAACCAGGGCATTTTGGGGCATTCATAGTTACATAATATACCCTTGTGGGTCAGGATAATTTTACATTGGTTTTCAGGAGAACCAGACACCATCCAGACTTTCATGTGACAATCCAAACAGTACAGCTCAATCCCGTTTAACAGAGGAGCCAGACACCGCCCAGGCTTAAATTTTATAACTCGAACAGTACAGCTCAATCCTGCTTCACAGGAGAACCAGAAACCATATAGGCTTTAACGCTACAATCTGAATAGTACAGCTCAGTCCTGTTGCGCAACCACACAGGTATCAAGCGCCCTGGTCAGTTGAGTTAGAGGTTATGGCAAACTATCGTCTGGACTGTGCACATTAAATCGCGTTCATCAGTATTGCTCATGTGGCTGACAATTTGTAAAAGCTTAGGATGTCGTATTCACTACATAAATGCATGTTGCTACTTCACGAAGATTTTATATCGATTTTCAGGAATTGCATCTGGAAGCTCGTCATTAGTGAGCACATGATTATTATCAGAACGGGGATTTGTGAAGATTGTAGTAATTTTAACAGTTGATTTACTGTAGTTCTAGTCTTGACCAATGGAGTTCAATCCGTTTCAGGTGTAAGACAGTTATCCACCTCAGACAATAGATGAGGGGTTGCTCAAAGATCATGGATCTACTGAATTTAGACATTAACACCGTCGGATACTGGCTCAGTGGTCTAGAACTTAAGAGTTCGCACGTGTAACCCGAAGTTCCTGGTTTCGAGTTCTGCGTGCGGGATCGTCGGTGCGCACTTCTGAGGAGTCCCATACTAGTACAAGACGACTTTCCTGTGCTTCTAGGTTTTCAATGGTGGTCTAGCTTAGATCGACTCGTTTATTATTTATTTGTTCATTTGTTATGACAGTTCCCACAGCCTTAGTAATTAGGTGACTGACAATACTTCAACACAGATACAGAAAACATTTTTGACATCTGATGTAGATCACCTATGATTTAGACCATGTGTCTGTCTATCTTTCTAAAGAGGCTAAGTTTGATTTTTATCTTCTTCGAAACTTGAATCCTGACCAATTGAAGAAGTAAATATACAAAAACTATAAGTGATCGATTACAGAGGTCTTTGAAGCATTAGTCACATACAGTGGAAATGTCAAATGAGTAATTTTATAGTTGGATGTAAGGTCTAAAGTAAAAATGATAAATCCATTAATTAAGCTGTAAACTTTCATCTATAACACGGATTAATATGATACTTCGAACATGTTTAAGTACTGCCCATGTTATGTAAATTTTCAAATGACAAGTTAAAAATACTTTATAGGTTCTGCTTACTTTACTACTCGTATATTAATTATGTAATGTTTATAAAAAGAAAACTTATAATTAACAGCATTATAATGGAACTTGCGTTCTATATACTCATTAGTTTTATATGATAATATTTTAGTGTTTTGTCTAATTCAATAATAAACTTAGTGTTAAGTAAAAGTTATTCTTCTAATAGCTCTTAAATATCGTGGTACGGCCGAGAGAGGGGAGAGCCAACTCTCCCTCTCCAAATGTTCTCACATGACCACGTGCATACAACCACTGCCAGGAAAGTCCTACTCACTGCCTTCTCGTGGCATTACTGTTGTTTACGAAATTGAGAGGACAAAAAGCGAGTGTCTTGTAGAGGTTTTAACCAAGTTGGTGGACACGGAGGATCCACCTAGGGGAGTCGGAAAACCCTGATTACAAACCAATGTTGCACATGAGCTCCAGGATCCTGAGGGAATAAATGGCGTATATGAACCAATCGTTGGTCACCAGCCACCATGAGACTACATCTCCGTACGTTGCTCCACTGCCTTGTGGATTAGACATTTAGGTCGAAGGCTCTGAGTGTGGCCCCCTAAGAAAACCATCTACTTCGTTCTGAGCACTCGGGTAGTATTCCAGCCCACACAGAAATCAAATGACTTATGTGACTCATATTAATTCGGTATTCCTTTCTACCAATACTTTTGTGTACAAGTATCAAACATTCTATGCCTTATAATTAACATTTGATTTAAGAAGAAAACATTTTTCTTATACTGTCTCTCATTTTCACTTGTTTTCTTAATAAGATAGATCTGTAATGCCAACTTTTATTTATTTATTTAAAAACATAAACATTGGTACAAGAAGGAACCAAACAGATATGCACCACATAAATCATTCGATTTGTTTGATGGCTCGTATACTGCCCGAGTGCACAAGTCGAAGTAGGTTGTTTCCTTAGAGAGCCACGCCCAGGACCTCTCACCTAAAGGTATAATCCACAAGGCAGTGGAGCGACGTAGGGAGATGCGGTCTCATGATAGCCGGTGACCAACGATTGGTTCATACATCATTTTTTCCCTCACGATACTGGATCCCACGTGTACGATCGATTTTGAATGAGGGTTATCCAACTCCCCTAGGTGAACTCTCCGTGTCCACCAACCCGGCTAAGGCGCCGGACATTCGCTTTTCGTCTTCTCAATTTGACTCTCCCCACTCTCAGCGATACCAGGGCATTTAGGGGCAACTTTACTTTTGTAGATTAATATATTTCTTGATGCTTTCGTTGTCTCAGTTTCACATTTCTAACAATAGTAGTAATATTAATACTCATTACCATTAAAATATTATGTATAACTCTCTGTTTATTTTTTTATCCTTTTTTTCTCTTCTATTTTCAGTTCTCTACTACAATGATTGTATGTATTTAGCTCATGAATGTTTAACATTAGGTGAACGTGGTCTTTATAAATTTGTTCAACAGTTTTTAGACTTAGGCTATGATATCATGACTAATACATTGAACAATACCACTGTTACATCAAATGAATCAAATACATTCAATAATTTGAGTATATTAGAAAGATCAGCTTCTTTAAGCACATGTATTTTGGTACCACATTTACGTCAATCTGGTGTTAATAATTTATTAGATCATTTAAGACGTGAACGACAATTTTTATTACGATGTGTTGAAAGGATTCAAGGATTTCATGTAAGTTTCTTTTTATCAAAGAAAGTGTATCTTTGTGTACAGTTTTAATGTTTACAGTTTCTGTTAATGGTTTTCTGTTTTTTTCAAATTGTATACAAAATTCATCTGTGTGTATAAACATACATATTTCTGATAAATAAAATGAACCTTCTTTGGAAAAATATTTAATGACAGAAGTAAACTACGTGCATGATCATGAGCCTATCAGATTTGAAACAGTAATTTGTTTTAGATTTTCGTATGGAATTTAATACTTTCTACTGTTACTCCTCATGGAGGAGCATAGACCGCTCACCAACACTCTCCATCCAACCCTATCCTGGGTAATCCTTTCCAGTTATTTCTAGTTGTTATTCATCCTTTTCATATCTGCTTCTATTTTCCGATGTAATGTGTTATTTGGTCTCCCTCTTTTCCGCTTCCCTTCAGGATTCCAAGTTAGGGCTTGCCTCGTGATGCAGATTGACGATTTGCGTAATGTATGTTCTATCCATTTCCATCGTCTTTTCCTAATTTCCTATTCAACTGGAAGCTGGTTTGTTCTCTTCCACAGTAGGCTGTTGCTGTTTGTATCCGGCCAATGGATGTTGAGTATCCTGCGTAGACAACTATTTATAAATACTTGTACCTTCTTGATAATGGTTGCAGTAGTTGTCGAAGTTTCAGCTCCGTACAGTAGAACTAACTGTCTTGACGTTCGTATTGAAGATTGTGACTTTGATGTTGGTTGACAGTTGTTTTGAGTTCCATATGCTTTTAACTGTAGGAATGCGGCCCTTGCTTTGCCAATCCTCGCCTTTACGTTTGATAATTCTCTAAGGATCATTTAAAATCTACTAGTGATAAACAAGACACAAGACTGAAGATTAGAAACAAGTTTGAATGATTCTCCAAGGTAACGGTGACATAGTGATTAGTTTCTTTTTCGTGTAGAAAACTGCTGAAATGAAAATACACATGAATTGTTAGCATAATTTATCAATTTATTCAGGCTTATTTAAGCGATTTTTAAAATTCCTGTTCAAAAAACCACTATCCACATAAATATTCAACATTATCTTTCAAAATATCATTCTCTCACTCTAATCTTAATTCTTGACTATAACTTCTAATCCTGACCATTTTTCGTTTATTATAATCAATGTTCCTATATGTGAATTTATTTATTCATTTAAACACATAAACATTTGTGAAAGGAGGCAGCAAACAGATATGCGCCACATAAATCATTCGATTTGTTTGAGGGCTTAGATACTGCCCGAGTGCACAAGTCGAAGTAGTTGGTTTCCTTAGTGGGCCACGCCAGGACCTTTGACCTAAAGGTATAATCCACAAGGCGGTGGGTCAACGTAAGGAGATGCAGTCCCATGGTAGCTGGTGACCAATGATTGGTTCATATGCCATTTGTTTCCTTATGATCTTGTATCCCATGTACACCATTGATTTTGAATGAGGGTTTTCCAACTCCGCTTGGTGGACTCTCCATATCCACCAACCAGCCTCTTCCGGTCTTTCGTTCTTCGTTCTCTCTCTTTTGTAAACAACAGTAATGCCGTGAGAAGGCAGTGAGTAAGACTTTCCTGGCAGTGGTTTATCCACGTGTTCATGTGAGAGCATTTTGAGAGGGAGAGCTAACTCTCCCCTCTTTCAGCCGTACCAGGGCATTTGTGGGCCGAGGTAGAAAAAACATGTGAAGGTTCTTTAAGAATACCTTTTTACAGTAAATTGTTTTAGAATTAATTACTGTTTTCTAATTGACTGTAAAGTCACATTACGCATTAAAGTTGTACGGTGAAATAATAAAGTTACGCGTGTTAGTATTGTGGTACAGATATAAGTAGTACATACCAGTAATCGGAAGTGGGATACCTGTCAGCAGAAGATTGAATTAAAGCGAACTGCAAGGGGAACACAGAAAAATTGAAATAATAACATAATTGAAAGAATTATGAAGTCTATGTAAAGGACAGCTGATGGGAGATGTGTAAATGATGTATTGAATGTATAGTTTTCTGATATTTTACAAAAGCATTCTATAATATAAAATTAAACAATAAATTGGTTCGCCCCACCAAATTTTTATTCACTACAATATGATGTTTATCAATGTGATGAAGCTTAACCATGAAATTAAATGTCAATCTCAATCTAATGGTATTATGACCAGTTTGATTATTTACAAAGGTGAATGAGTTACGTGTACACTATTCAGTTAAACTTTTTGGTCTGTTAGTTTGATTTGAAAAAAGCTTTAGTAGATTCATTGCAAATGTATGTATATTGTATCAGTGTTTGTTGACAATGGTTTTCAGTTGATCTACACACATTTAATGATAGCATAAAATGTTGCACTATTGTTTTTTTCTTTTTAATCACCTCCGGTCATATCATAAACAACACTTCAATTGTACTGTACTAACTTTTGTCGAGCTAGAAGTATGTCTAATCAGGATATCAGTCTATCATTCAGTCAGCTGTTAATCTAAATAACATGTAGTATTCAGTCCTAACAGTCATTCAGCAGTGTTTCAATGGTTAAAACGTTAAACTTTTAACTCACCAAGCCGTATGTTCGAACCCAACATTTACCCAGATTGGTTCTTACAACTGGATAGTATCACTATTCATCATGCAAAATAAGTATAATTCAAAGCTAAGTACATATATGTCTATTTGGTAATGAGACAACGGTGGACGGTGGCTTGATTTCATAGATTGGTTAAAGTTAGACATTAACACCGCTGAATGCGGGCTCAGTGTTCTAGAGGTTAAGCGTTAACGCGCGAGACTGATAAGTCCTGGGTTTGAATCTCGTGAAGCTGAATCGTGGATGCACATTGCTGAAGAGTCTCATACTTGGACGAAATGATCGTCCAGTACTTTCAGGTTTTCCATGATGGTCTAACTTCATCTCCACAAAACATCTTCTGATAATAATCAGTTAATAAATTAGTTCCACAGTATTAAAATGATAGACTAAACATATTTCAAATGATTTTCTGTTAATTAATATTATCTACATGAAAATATATCATTCTCAGTTGGTCTAATCATCAAATTCCATTATTAAACACTTGACATAATGATAATAATTTGATCTTTCATTAATGTTATATTCCATCATCTCAATGCTAAACACTATTCTATATTGTATGATAAGCACATATAAACAAACTGATCTAATCTATATTAGGCTTATGATTTATATTATTATTATTATCATTATCATTGAATTGATAAACATATTTACACGTAGAATAAACGTCTCTTTCTTAACTTATAATTAACAAACTAGTGTTTATGCTTGTGTAAATCATTCAAATGAACTTTTGACCGGAAGCTTGTATATCATAGAAAGGTATGACTGGCCTCCGACCATTCATATATATATATATATATATATATATATATATATAGAGAGAGAGAGAGAGAGAGATTGCATAAACAATGCCAATTATTTTGTTGTTCAAGTTATTAATTGAATGTTCGTTACATAGTGCAAGTTATTATTATTATTATTATTATTATTATTATTATTATTGGTGTGTTTGTTGTATTAGAAACTCATAAGTACAATATCGTGACCATGGCACCAATTAAACTGACTATAATAAAGGCGTTACTACTGTTATAAATGTGGTGTAATACACAAGATACTAGGATATCTATTTCTGCGTCAATGCATTGTTTGATGTACAGTGAATAGGTTTTGATTGAGTTTTGTTCTCTGAGCTAGATAAATCTCTCATATAATTCTTGGATAAAATAAAAGAGATCCAAGTTAACAATAACAAATTGATAATATGATTCTACTTAACAGTCTTATTCATCTTAGTCGAATGAAACATTGCGAAGAAAACTTCATCTCTTTTTCTCATCAATGTTACAAATCTCCTTAAGTATACAAAGTTACAGTCTACTAGAAGTCATCAATTTATGCTTAATAACATATTTTCAATTGAATAAAACCTACAAACAGGCGATAAGAATACCAATATGAGGACTTATTGCAGTCGAGGTAATTCAGTGACTGGAAGCCTCAATTTGACCTGTTGTCAAGTCGGAAATGTGGATTCGTCATCATCAAAAAGTAAAAGCTGACAAACACCCACAATTTTATCAACAATGTCATTTTGATGACATAGCATTCACAATGAAAAGGATTCGAACAGCAACTATCATTTCTGGAGACTCAAGTATCTCGAAAGCCAATCCACATAGATCAACATCTCAACTATAGTAGCAATAATTCAAGAATTTATATAATCAACTGTGTACAAAAAGATGGGAGCGCACTGAAACATACCTACAGTGAAGTAAAATGACGAAAAGTATCTGATGACTATCTTTCAAAATAACGGCTACCCACTGAACTTCACCCAAAAATGTCAACCCATCTCATCAGCGGAGATGAAATCAAGTATAGAAACTGTTGTGACTTTAAATTGGGTCGATTTTTACCCTGTGCTAATTGTTGTGTCCTTGACTGGAAAATTAGAGAGTAGCGTACTTATCGATCGATTACAGTGACACGTAAACACATACGGACGGCCTAGAGTCTCTATTGGTCTCGCTTCCCTGTCTAGCCCAGTCAGTTGAGTCCAGAACACAAGTCACAGCCTCGGAGATATGAATCATTGTATTTCAGACATACTCTATTTATATACTAACCAAACATACCACATCGTACCATAAAAATAGAAAACAACATTTGTACAATATTTAACGGATGAAGTAAATAATGGCCAATAGGAAATGCCCATTTAACGTCCAAGGACATCACTAGGCTTGACATGATAATGATTGGCACATTATTCTGCATCCATAACAGAAACCGACAAATAGATCATCCTACCATGTATAAAAGACACCGGAGCTTGTTAAAGTTGTTTGAGACTAGGCGTAGCACACAACTAAACTATACAGCTCAGAAACCAAAGTTCCACCAAAATCGTCCACCTGAGCTACAAATCTTCTCCACCATCTCGATGTAAAATTTATTTTCATCACTTTTGAAATGGAATAACAAATATTATGTACTCAGAGGAGCGAGGTGGGCAGGTTGGAAAGAATATAATCTCTACAACATTAATGCTAGTATGGATAGGTTAAGAGAAGGCAGAAGGAAATAATGATGTAGGTAACATACTGATTCCACTCTTGTTGTAGAGCTGTATAAATGTGTAGATCGCACTGATAATGGGGCAGTGGTTCAATTGTTATAGTGTTCAGCTTTTAGCCTATAGTTCTCTGATTCGAACCTCGTTTCACTTATTTCAGTTTCGTTGACTGTGTTACACCAAGAATGTGACTTAAAATCAAATACACGAACTTGCACAACTGGTAAATTAATTGCAATTAGTTCTTTCTTGTGGAAACTAGCAAAAAAAATCGATTTATGACCTTCTCTGAATTTCATTGTTCTAATACATTTCTTATTTTCTCAGATGAAAATATTTCGATTCTCTTTTTTTTTTAATTTTTACATTCCAATGTGACCATTGACTACATCCTTATGATAGACGAAATTTTTTTATTTATTCATTTATTTTTTTGAACACATAAACATTGGTACAAAAAGACACCGAATATATATGCGCCACACAACTCTTGATTTGTCTGTGGGCTGTGATACTGCCCGAGTGCTCAGAACGAAGTAGATGTTTTTCCTAGGGGGCCACACTCAGAGCCTTCGACCTAAATGTCTAATCCACAAGGCAGTGGAGCAACGTACGGAGATGTAGTCTCATGGTAGCTGGTGACCAACGATTGGTTCGTACGCCATTTATTCCCTCAAGATCCCTGGGTGGATCCTCCTTGTCCACCAACTCGATTAAATCCCCCACCGGACATTCGCTCTTCGTTCTCTCAATGTCACAAATAACCCCCTTTTGCGAGAAGGCAGTGAGTAAGACTTTCCTGACAGTGGTTGTATGCACATGGCCATGTGAGAGCATTTGGTAAGGGAGAGCTTATTCTCATCGCCATCGGTCGCACTAGGGCATTTGGGGGCAAACCAAAAAACAAAAAAGTCATGGAACATAATAGAGTAAGGTACATTTAAAGTGTTGAGTTGCTAACAGTAATATGGAACACTGTTTAGGTGAATTGAATCTTTTTATTATTAAGATTAATCAGTTAGATAAGAACTATGTATATCTCAACAGAAGTTAAATCATTTCATTTCATACATCAATTATACCAAGTATTTAATCAAAACCGCTGACATATCAACCAATCAAAAACTTAATAATCTCCACAACCCCCATACTAGTAATTAACCTGTACTCACTAGTGACTAGCTTCGTGAGGGAATTCTCGGAGTTCTAGTGAGAAGCTGTGACCAGTGGAACTGATCCATGTGGGATAGAGACAGGTATCTACCTCAGTACAATAGATGGTCGCGCAATTCCGTGGATTGGTTGATGTTAGACACTATTATCATTGGGTGCCGGCTTAGTGGTCGAGTAGGTTAAGCGTCCGCGCGCGAGACCGAAAGCCCTGGGTCGGAATCCCGTGAGCGGGATCGTGGATGCGCACTGCTGAGAAGTCCCACAATAGGACGAAACTGCCATGCAGTGCTTCCAGGTTTCCAAATTTGGTCTAACATCAATCGGTTCATGATCTCAATCAACAACAACCATATGCTAGATAACATGTTATACTTATTCTCATTGACTAAGTTATAGTATGAAAAATGAAGATAACAATTCTTTGTTAGGTTCATCATTTGGTGTTTCTCAATATTTTATCATATAATGGTATCTAAGTAAGATGTAATTTTATGTTTATGGATTATGTAATTGACTTTTATAGAATTGAAGCATCATGGTATTATGACAGTTACATTTATTAGTCCTTTTTTGACTGATTCATTTGGAGAAATTTTAATTTGGCTTGATTGATTTTCATGTTCTGATCTCTCTTTTTGAACTATGAGTGAAAATTGTAGACCTAATTATTCAATCATTCACTTTTAACTTAAGATCTTTCGACAGTGTAAAACTTGGAACATTTTTTCGAAAAGTGTACATCGTGATTCCCATATGTTTTTTGCTCTCTTTCTCTCTTGCTCTCTCTCTGTTGCGTAACAACTTCACTTCATCATATTTAGCTTATTATCCTCTAAGCAGCAATGTTGAAGTAAATACGGATAAGTATCTCTAAGTTTTCAGGTTTTTTTTAAAAACTTTTCATAATTTAGAAAATCAGCGACCAAATTCTTTTGTGTCTGTAAGTTACTAAAATTAAAGAGAATACTACGAAATGGTGGTTTTTTTCGTGTGTGTGTGTGTGTGTGTGGATAAAATCATGTACTTAAGCTGTAGATTCATCAATTCTAGACACGTTACCCTAAAGAATCATCATCAGCTACAACGTAGGACGAAGAACATATGGATAGCAGCCTGCTTGATTATCTGGACTACATGTTTCTGACATCAACATATCTCAAAAAGTTACTTATCGTTTGTTTATTTTAACACATCTTATTCTCATAACCTATTTAGGCGTGTTTATGAAAAGTTTACAATTTTTTTCGCCTTACAGCATACAAAAAAGTACAATCAGAAACATTGTATTGGATGTCAGTATGCATTGAGTGATCATTGTTCAGATTTCGATTTCTGAACTGTTAACATCCAATTAGTGATAACTCAGTATTTATCGTTAGGATAGATGAAGAAACAAGGAGAGGAAACTTGATGAAATACTTTGTGCTGAGGATTCTATGTTGTACCAAAAACCTGATATTGAATAAAGTCACTAATAATAATAATAATGATAACGTTAGCATCGAAGAGGGAAAGGTAAATTGAATAAAAAAATCACGCATTGCTAGGGTGCTGGCAATTCATCGATCCAAGCCTTAACTCTGTGTGCAACTTCTCAACCTTCCATGACCCTAGTGTCCTTTTCCAATGTGTTTTGGTTTTGTTTTCGAGTTCTACCTGGAGCTCTCTTAGGTTTACTCTAGATCTCAAGCCCAGGTAAATGAGACTAGTTGGACTTGTGGTTAGCAACCCTGTTTCTTAAAGAAGAACCTCAATAAAAATCGTTAGACCTTATTTTACTTTACTTGCTCTTGTTACCTCTCGTGAGACATGGGCCACCGACCTTGATCATCATCTAACTTTTTTGTATGGTTATCATAACTGATACGTTTTTCATTTCCTCTTCATATCTGTAAACAGTTACCTTTCGTATTCTTGACCAGCAAATTATTCTCATCTCTGCCCCATTTCTTAATAATCTCTCGATATTTAAAATCTTGAATCACTTAATGATGTAATTCTATTTTTATTCTCTTATAGACTAACATATATATTTATCAAACAACTGTAACAAATATACAGCCTAAGTAAATGCGAGCAAAAATTTCTGTGTTGAATTCTCTTAGCTCTTATGATTCATTGACACAATGAATTACTTTTGATTAACAATGATTATTTAACTCATATGTTTGTTATAGAATGTCAGTTCCTCGATTGGTAATCGTCATTGTACTACAGCTATAGAAGATTGTTGTCATCATTTGCATAAAATTTCAGAAGCACTCAGTCCACTTCCTCGTACAGTTTATTTTCGTGCTATGGGTAAGTTTATACTAAATCGATTTGGATATTTTTTATTTATTTTAAACACACATAAACATTCGTACAAGGAGGTACCAAAAACATATACTCCACAACCTCGTCATTCGATTTGTGTGAGGGCTGAGATACTCCCTGGGTGCCCAAAGCGAAGCAGGGGTTTTTCTTTGGAAGCTACACTCGAAGCCTTTGACCTAGAGGTTTAATCCATAAGGTAGTGGAGCAACATTAGGGGATGCAGTCCCATGGTAGCCAGTGATCAACAATAGGTCCATGCACCATTTATTCCCTCAGGTTCCTGGAGCTCATATGAACCATTCAATATGTTCCTCATTGTTTTTTTCGTGTTCGGTTAGTTTAAATAAAGTTAGAATGAACCGCGTACTCTGAAGCAATGAGAGAGAATAGGTTGAAACTAGTAATAATAATGATAATAAATTTTTTAAAGAGTCATCGTATTTTGGTTTGAACAGATGTGAATTTCACCAAACTATCTTAAGTTTAGCAATGTCTTAAGGTTAAAATAATGAGTTTTGTTTTGGAATATGTAATGATACCGTTATTAAATTAAAAGAAGAAATAAGAGCAAATTCTGTATGCTCTATAAAAACCAATGAAGAATGAATTATTTATTTTGGCACCGATCTATAAAGTTCGTTTGGTTTTCTGTCGACTGATATCACTTATGAGGTACACGAAGTATTCGTCTACCAACCAAAAAACAAGTTATCTGGACACCTGTATGTCCCGTTCTACTTTGTCTCCGTGATACGTGACCTTTAGAAATAGAGGATATTCGTATATTACTATTATTTGAGCATATTTACCTGGTGTAAGTTGGGACTATCGAGTGAACAACGGTCAAGCTAGATCTAGGGTATTAAATAAAGATTACAAATCGATTTATGTATTAGTCAATATCCATAGACTGAGATTAATGAGACATGTATTACATAGCCTAAACACTACCTACCTACCTACTTAGACAGATGATGTTGACTGGTGGAGTCGGTTGAAAGTACACTAGGGACGGCCAAACTATAATGTGACTGTTAAACTGTATTGTGGTGGAAGGTAGGTACAAAATACGTGGTTGGGGTCCATGCAATTATTGCAACCAATTGTTGGAGACGTTGGATTATATGACTGCGTGTCAGTCACAATGGTATAGATACATTCACTCTTCGTCTTCCCCCCAGATATAGTTTCAAATTGATCTTATACGTCTCCTATTTTACATATTCATTCTTCTTTTCTGGAGTAATATTATCCATACCTAATGTTTTCTATTAACACTAACCTTGTTACTAATTCTACTACTCTGTTTACAATTGATTGATTACATGACCAATATCATGCTTGTTAAGTGTTTCTTAATGCTGATAAAATTCTATTGATCAAGTTGCAACGTTGATCCACCAGGCAAGATTACTGATATCATTTGCTGACGATTCTCATATACGTTCAGAGCATACTAACAACTATCTCCAGTCACTTGAAATCTCTACTACCCTAATGTATATGTTCAGAATGTCATCTCATTGTGCTGATATGATGTGGGGAGATAATTATTACCTATTCATATCGGATTCTACGTTGCGCATAACTGCTTTAAGTGTTTTAATAATTTATACTTACTCTGCATCTTTTAAAAAAATATTTTTCTTGAAAATTCTTATAGTTTTAAGTCAAATATTTCTTCAATAGTTCTCCGGTTGTTGTTAATCATGTTAAGAGATAACTTCTAACTCTCTACAAGATCATCTAAATCGATATTAATCGCGTCTGCTCACTAGTAACTATCTTCAATGTGGATTTTTCGAATCTCTATTATGAAACTGGAATCGTTAAAAGTCAGTTAATAAGAACTTTGAGCATTTCCTGAATACTTAACATCACATCGGTTATGAGTCGCGAAACTTCACAAAGTTAAAGGTGTAGAAGCCTTAATTCTGACTTTATTGTATCGTGGTTCTGCATTTGGTTCGGTAAAAATATTGTGTACGGTCTTCTGAGCAACCTTAAACTGCCAAATTAAAGGGAAGTGTTGGTATAAGAATAAGCTATGATACACAATTCGTTTAGCCAACAGTGTTTTATATATATATATATATATATATATATATATATATATATATATATATATATATATATATATAATACGTGGGTCACAGATAGTTTTTGAATACACAGGCCTGCCATCTTGATGCGGTGACTGCTCTTACATTCTATAATCACCTAACTAAGCTATATTGGCTGAAACAATCGTTTTTACCTTTCCAGGTGAGTCAACTAAAGTGCGATGAGACTTACATCAGCGAGTTTAAATTCTCAGAGCGAAGTCCTGTTAGCTACTATACTGAGGTGTAACGGTATCCGAGGTTTTTCTTTCACCTCAGACATCCGGTATCCAGCACCTTTGATCTATGTTAATTGGTTCAAACTATTTTGTTGTGGTTACGGCGATAACTACAGTCGGTAGTCGGAAACGTTGTGTGACATGAATCACAATTTATAACAGTGGTGCAAAGATGCATTCACTCGTTATCTTTGTTGGTTGTTTACTTTGCTAATTTCATCTCGTCGTGCTGATGTAGTTTAGAAACTTGTACTGACATTTATATATATATATATATATATATATATATATATATATATATATATATATATATATATATATTGACACTGATATTTCTGTACCTCATCAGACTACTTGAATCCAGGCTGTCTGAACAATGTCTATGATCTGTGTGTATGCAGAATGAGTATTTTAATTATTGAGAATCAAATCGTCACTAAATTCAAATTCTTTCATTTATTTTATTATTTATTTCAACACATAAGTATGTGTATGGGCTGTGATACTGCCCAGGTGCCCAGACCGAAGCAGGTGGTTTTCTTAGGGAGCCACACCCTGAGCCTTTGACCTAAAGGTCTAGTCGACAAGGCAGTGAAGCATTGTGAGGAGGTGCATTCACATGGAAGCCGGTGACCAACGATTGGTTCATATGCCATTTGTTCCCGCAGGATACTGGAGCCCATGTGCACCATTGGTTTGTGATCCGTATAAAGCACCGGACATTCGCTTTTTGTCCTCTCATTTTCGTAAACAACACCCGCGGCCGTGTGAGAGCATTTCGAGAGGAAGGGCGAGCCCACCTTACTCTCGGCCATACCAGGGTATTTGGGGGCAATTTAAATTCTACCTAATCAATTATATCAAACGTTATAAGGCAAGTGTTACTGTTAGTAAGTTTACTTCATGAATATTTGACTGATGTCTTTCAAATTTGATTAACTTCACTTCTAGTGTGAAATGTTTACTAGTTCTATTACATAACCATCATGATTAGTCGAACTGTTTTCAAACACACATTACTTAATTAGGTAGGTACTTAAGAGTTTGATACTCTATCCACTTATACTTCACTACAAAATTAAAACAATATAGTTTACAAAATGTTCTTCTATTATTGAATGATCTAAATAATTAAAGTTATTATATTTTGTTCATTATCATATGGTTTCTTTTTCTTCTATTCCTTTTTTAAATTTCAGGGATCATGTGTAATTGTGTTTGTACGGAATTAGTAAAAACTATCTTGAAATTAATCGATATTACGAAATCAGATTGTGATAACATTCTGATGTTGTTGGAGTCTGTCAAAAACACTGTAAGCTATTGCTATTATTATTATCATTGTTATTATTATTATTATTATTATTGTGGTGAAGCTGAAGTATAAGGACGAACTTGAGCATAATTGTAAATGATTTTCTGATAAGACATTGACACATTCAGCTAATCCAGTATGCAATAGTTATGAATGAGCGATTTATTTGGCCCGTGATTAGAATTTCTATAAGTTATGGATGTATAGTCAGGATTAGAATGTATAGCTTAGTTTTATAATTGGAACTAAGATATAATGTCAGAAGGGGTTTTGTGGAGATAGTATTAATTTCAATAGTTGAGATCATGAGTCAGTTATGAGGTAGTAACTCACTGATGACAATGGTGAATGTGTTGCTTAATTTCGTGGATTAGTTGAAGTTAGACATTAACACCGTTGGATGCCGGCCAGCTCAGTGGTCTAGTTGGTTAAGCGCCTGGCGCGAGACTGATAGGTCCTGGGTTCGGATCCCGCGAGGTGGGGTCGTGGATGCACACTACTGAGGGGTCGCACAATAGGACGAAACGGCTGTCCAGTGCTTCCAGGTTTTGCATGGTGGTCTAGCTTCAATTGACTTATGATCTCAACTATTGAAATTAAGATATAATGCTTATAATTTAGGTTTGTAAGATTTAAAGGATTGATATGAGTTTATTTAGTCCTGAACTTTATATCTTCACTCCAAACATACCTGATTCTAACTCTAAACTATATATTCTGACAAATTAAGAAAAAAGACATCTTCATATTCTCTTGAATTAACGTTTTTAATACGATTAACTGTTCTGTTATTTATTTATTTAGCTGTTCTGTTATTTCATCTAATTCATCATTCGTAAACGACATGTTCATTTGATAGAGATGCTTCGTGGCTTTGAAACGATTCCTCGGTTCATGGCTGACTCACCTTCATAGATTAATTTAGTCATTAATATTATTCACCATTTAAATAGATATATTTAGACCAGGAGGACAAATTAATGGTGATAATAATCCATTGTCTTTGTTGTTACCATTGAGCTTAACAGTTCAATATTTTTTCGATCAGGGGAGCCATACAGATTAAATATAATTAGTAATAATTTGATTTATTCACTAGGTAGGTAACTCAAATAAGCCACATACACTGCAAGTGTGTTTTCTATGATACCTGATTTCGTTTACACATTTTATTGACTTTCTTAAAAAGGTAAAGAAAGGGGACGACAAGTTTGGTAGTATTTCTAGCTTTGAAATAATACTGTAACTGAGCACCTAATAAAGACAACACTCAAATATAGCCATTAGGTATGATGTTCAAGTTACTAACCTTTTCTTTACTGTATATTTTTCAAAGACACATTAAATAGAGAATCTCCTAGTGCAATGTGAGATTTTTCCTGATTTTACATTTTTAACGTGATCTGTTTCAATAATCAGAAAAGGGTTTTTGTGGATATTATAGTAATTTAGTAGTTGAATTCATGAGTCAATTGAAGCTAGACCACCATGGAAAACCTGGTAGCACTGGACGGCCATTTTTCCATGAGGATAAGGTTTATTTGACGCTCTTCATTTCTGTTTAAACAATATACGAAGATTAACAAGAATATTTTTATGATATACAGGCAAATATTTTTACATATGGATTTAATATCTCTTAAAGGGTTGTTATATGATCTAAAGTTTTCGCTTCTATTAATTGTAAAGTACACAGTGCGTTGGGAATTGAAAACAGATATAATGAATAGCAATAATATTAATGAACGGCAACTGAAAAGGCAAGTCCATGAATGTTGGTTGGAGTTTGGTGGTCGACAGCTCATGCTCCTCGAGGTTTAACAGGTGTACGTAAGTAGTTACACAGGAAGATGAAGGGTTGGCAAAACTTGGTGTCCCAGCTGAATAACTCACAATAGTGCTAAGGTCATACTGTGGTGCGTGCTACTTATATTGACATAAGTAGTATATAACGCGATTCAGGAATGTAATGTCTGGCAGCAGAAGATTGAGATGATCAAGAAAGGAAGGACGGAGATGGAAAGCAATTAGTATAGAAATTTAAGAACAATGAAGTCCAAGACAATTATTGAACATTCTGCAAATTAAGTATTATAGTATGGTTTTTCTATTTTACCAAGTAACTCTGTAATGTGCTGAATATAATTTGGTTGTCCTCACCTGTGTTCTCCTTCACTACAATACGAATAGTCAAGTGAGAATGAAACACTAGCGGTTAATATTACTAACATAACTATAACATTCTAAACAAAAAAAAACACTAATCCTGTAATCTCTTTAGCATCGGATTACTGATGGTGTAGTTTTTTCCTTTTATCGTTTTGACCCAATTTTCCTTTGTTTTTTTTTGCTCCCTCTTTCTCGCCCTGTTTATATAATCGATCGGTTAGTGTGTCCTCATATTGTTATTTATTTATTTTTCTCTTCATAAATAAATAAAATGATAATAATATTCATTCCTTCCAATTCATTTTGAATACTTCTCTTCATGCATAGGTTGAAGTTTTATAGATTATAACAAACTATACAAATAACCTTGAACTACTTTTCAAAACTAATACGTGTAAATTCTGTTTTGTTTTGGTTATGTGATTTATCAATAAGAATCTAATACAATTAGAATGGATAAACAGTTTCATTAATGAATAATGGATGTTTTTTCTATTCTAAATCATGAAAGACTTTCATCATAGATGATTCTATCAGCTGTAATAATTTGTGTAATCATTTCAATGAATTTCACTCTGAAATCTGATTGGTTCATTCGTGTGTTTTATTTTTACCGCCCAATATTTTCATAATTCAATGAATCAAGTTTTGTTCACTTCATCCAATGATGTTTTTCGTTCATTATTATTATTACTACTATACTGTAACCTTAAGGTATTTACGCTGGTCAATCAATATTTTGCTTGTTCGAACACACACCTCTCTCCCATTTAAGGAAGGGAATTTTCTTGTGACCTGATAATTCCTTATGTCAGTAGAATAGGCGGGAAGTTAATTTGAAATAAACTATGTATCTTCGTTGTTATTCAAAAAAAGTGGGGGGTGGGTGATTGGGTGGTTGAAAAACCCAGTTAGATATCAACATTTTATGAATGTATTTTGGTGTTTGATTCCAAGTTATTATTTAACAATAAAGAAAGTGTTTTAGTAAATGTGTTGACGATAATATGAAAAGTTGAGGCGGAATTGGGGAATTTGTTAGTATATTACTTGAAAATTACTCTGAATAGCTGCTGTTTTCTGAATTGGCCTTGTATCGTTCGAGAATTTGTGGTAGACTGACAAATCCCTGTCTGACAAAAGTATTCGTAACACAATAGCTCTATGTAATAAACTGGCCCTCTCTCCACTTTTGCAACCCAGTCCTGTTGTCAAGAAACAATGCACAGCGTAGCAGCCGTTGGGATAACATTCGTAAAACATGTCCAAGCTACTGATGTCGGTGTTTCCTGTTGATGGTACCAGTAGAGTTGTCATCACTGCGCTTGGACACGTATTCTTGAACCTCAACGTGGTGTTCCCCCTGGATATCAGCAATCCTTTGAAGAACCTTTTCTAACCTCCTTCCTTAGTGAGTGGGCAGCGTCGCTTAAGATTCTGGTCGTTTAACGCAAACATTGTTATACCCCAAACACAGTTACCAGTATGACTTTAATCTAGAATCTCTTACTTTTTGTTTCGTCGCTTCCCAATCCACCTACGTTGAATGGTAGGACCTAAATTAACAAATTTTTCAGTGATTATAGCTCAATTCAGTTATCAAAAGCCTTGATCACGACGTCAAGTTAACAGCTACGATTGAACTTGACTAACCTAAAAAATTATTCTTCCCTTTTTGAGATTTTCTCAATGTCCACAAACAAGAGACTCTATTGATCTTATTATTGTTTGATTATTATTGGTTGATGTTAGTTTCGAATTTTTAATGATGAGTTTATCATTTGCTGCTTTTTAAGCATCCATCAGTTCGCAGAAGTTTTATGTTAATCGATTCCATAAAGTTTCATGTAAGCTTATTCATATATGATTACTCGTTAGTTGCTACTAATATTGAACTGAGTCATGTAAGTAGCTGCAGACTATCTTGCTGAGATCCAAGTGACTATCGAAATCAGTGGTTGTTAACTTTGGGTAATATGGCTTAAAATCGTTCGCAATAGCGTACGGTTATTCACTCTTTGTCTTTGTCATATTTTCTTTTCAAGTCCTATCGTCGATGCCTGATCTTTTTCATTTCTACTACTACTATTACTATATCCTACTATTCTGGGCATTTTCCTGACAATCTCATTTCGCTGTGTTAATAAGCTCTGGTAGTTTGAACTGATGTACACATGTTCCGTGTTCTTTATTGTGTATGACCGACTATTACCATTACATAGTTACGTAAATGAATAAACCCCAACCCAAACTTTGCTGTTTCACAGTTCACATATAGTTAGCTAAATCATTCGATCCTATATTGTGTACACTAGGTGTTTTCTCGTGTACATAAAAATAACTAGTAAGGTTATTGTTCCTCGTTTTTATTGTTGGAACCGTTAGGAATTTAATAAATTTTTACCTAATTTTCTATCTTATTAATTAGATCGTGGAATTGTTCAAACCTTCTGAAGTTGTACATCAGCCAGCTGCAAAAGAATCAATAACTAAATCACAGCATGTAAGTACATTTTTCTTTTTTGTTAAAGGATTATGAGGAAAAATGAAGTTATTACTGTATGAAAGATTTGTGGGAATTGTTGAGTTTCATAAGTAACATCATGGACTAAAATTTAAAAAAATCTGTTTTGTCCTAGTATGGAACTTCTCAGCATTTTGCATTTATAAGTTAGGCTCTCGCCGTTAAACTCAAAGGTTCCTTGTTCGATACCCTGTGGTGGAATCGTGGATCTACACTGTCATTGAAGAATTCCGTGCTATACGTAGTAGTTGTCCGGTGCTTCTTGGTTTTCATGGACTGGCTTACTAAAATCAGTGAGCGATGTAAATGACTTAACATTTCATTGACCTATTGAATGGATGCTCGTGTTTGACAAAACGTTTTTTTGTACTTAGTCTTTATATTTTGTATTTAATAATAAATATCGGCTTTTAAGTTATTTGTTGCGAGTTTCGAAATTTTAAATGTTTCTTTGGAAGTGAAACAATCAGAATCCTTGCCTACACTGAATTAAATCCTTTTTGGGGTAGTACTTGTGAAATATAAGCTTACATTACCGTTCTACTTAACGTGTGTTGAATACGTTAATCAATAATTATTTCGTAAATTAGGCCCCCAAATGCTCTTGTACGGTCGAGGGTGGGGAGAGTTAACACTCCCTCTCGAAAGGCTCTCACATGGACACGTATTCATCCACTATCATGGAAGTTCTACTCACTGTCTCCTGGCGAAGGGGGGAGGGGTTGTTTGCAAAATTGAAAGGGCGAAACGCGAGTGTCCGATGGGGACTTTAACCGAGTTGGTGGACACAGAGGATCCACCTAGGGGAGTTGGAAAACCTTGATTCCAAACCAATAGTGTGCATGGGCTGCAGTATCCTGAAGGAAAAAATGGCGTATGAACCTATCTTTGGTCACCGGCTACGATGGGACTGCATCTCCCAACATTGCTCCACTGCCTTGTGGATCAGACCTTTAGGACCTACTTCGTTTTGGGCACTCGGGTAGTATCACAACCCACACACAAATCAAGTGGCTTATGTGGCGTATATATATTTTCGGTGTCTCTTTGTACCAGTATTACTGTGTTCAAATAAATAAACTTACATTATCCTGCAAGCATGTTTGTTTTCTTCTGATGTACATGGCTTTATATAAAGTAACTTTATTCAAAACAAATCATCAATAAAGTTTGTTTTAATCGAAATCATTGCTAGTTGTAAACTTCAAAAGTAGAATTAAGCTCTACAAGATCCATAACCAATGTTATTTTGATGCAAATATACTGATATTTATGAATCATTTATTCAAATTTATTAAGATTACATTAGCATTTTCACAGTCGATATAACTAACGATTTGTGGTTTAGATTATTGAATGTCAATTAGTTGTTTGTTTACTAAATTTTCTCATTTATTCTATGTATAATACAATCGAAAAGAAAATAGTGCATGAAATGTAAATTTTATTGTTTAAACTAAGTCTATATGTTTTACACCATCTTATCATAACTGTGTATTAGTTATTTGAATCATCCCGTTGGTGTTGAGAATTACAATGGATCAGTATCTATTTTTTTGAGGGTAGGGGGTAGAGGTGTGTACGCTGTGTAAGTTACTTTGATATTGCCATTAATTCACAAACAATTTGATAAGCTGAAATGAATGATGGTGCGTTCCGTCCTACTTAGAACTTTTCAACTGAATGTACCTGGTATATCCATGAGTTAATGTTTATTCTGGGACATATAGAACGAAACATGCATTCTGGATTCAACTGCTTGCCAATATCAGTAATTTAGTCGTTCGTTTGTAAAAATAACACAACTAGAATGTATTCACTATAATAACGGATAAATATTTTTATTAGATTCGAACTAAAACGCCAAACGTTCCGAGTTATTTATGTTTTGTTTTTTTAATTCGCATAAAATCTGGTACGACTTTATTTATTTGAACACATAAATATTGGTGCAAAGGGGCACCAGATAAGTATGCGCCATACAAATCTCATTTGATTTGTGTGAGGGCTGTGATACTGCCCGGGTGCCCAAGCCGAAGCAGGTGGTTTTCTTAGGGGACCACATCCGGATCGTTTAACCCAAATGTCTGATCCACAGGGCAGTGGAGCATTGTGAAGAGATGCGGTCTCATGGTAGCCGGTGACTAACAATTGGTTCATACGCCTATTTTTCTCTCAGGATACTGGATCCCATGTGCACGGTCGATTTCGAATTAGGGTTATCCAACTCCCCTAGGTGGACTCGCCATGTCCACCAACCAGCTTAAAGTGCCGGACATTCGCTTTTCGTCCTCCCATTATCGTAAACAGCACCCGTGGTGCAAGATAGTGAATAGGACTTCCCTGGTATAGGCTTTATACACGTGGCTACTTGAGTGGATTTCAAGAGGGAGAGCTGACTCTCCCTACTCTCGGTCGTACCAGGGCATTTGGGGGCCGACTTTGCACCAAAAATAATATTTTCGAGAAGGATGTTTGTGTGTAGACTGTTGTACCACCACCTATAGACCTAAATCGAGACAAATAGTTTCCTTACGTGAACATTGCCTGAGTCTATGGTTAAAGGTCTAATTGAAATCGCGTTTAAACAATGTCAGGAGTTACCATCTTTTGGTAGCCAGTGACCAAAAATAGGTTTATGCATTATTAGTTCCTTCAGGATTCTGGAGCTTATGTTAATCATTGATTTTAGAACCACTATTTTACTATTCCATTATGTGGACCGTCCGTGGGCATCAATTAAGTTTAAGCACTGGAATTTCAATTTTCTTACTTTTACCTTCGTAAACAACACCTACATGATGTGAAGAAAGCGATTAAGTTTTCTCTGGAAAGGAATGTAACCGCATAACTGTGACAGTATTCCAAAGGAGTGATCGAGTTTTCCCTATCTTCAACCGTACTAAGACATTTAGAAACTGACAATTTATGTTCTGCTTTTCGTTATTCTTACTAAGACGTGTCAACTTACGAGCTTTGTACCGATGTTGTATTTGAACCTGTGTTATTATTAATGGCTTTATTCAATATTATATTTTGGTACAATATAGAATTCTCAGCACAGGGTATTTCAACAAGTTACTTATGCAAACAAAAATAGTAACAAAGACAAAAAAATAAAGTTTAAAAAAAAAGTCTGAAAAACAGTACAACATTTGAAATTAAAGTCATGTTAAGAATGCAGGTTATTGGCTAGGTTAACTCTAACAACCTGTTCGTCACAGAGTATATTTGCTAGATAAGGTATTATAGAACATTTGTACTTTTGCTTGCGTGCATGGATTTTAATGTAATTACGTCTCGTTCTACCAGAAGATATACAAGGAGAAAGATAAGAGTGAAGGGGATGGCTAGTATCTGATAAAATGACACCTGCCAGGAGTTTGCATGATTTTAAATGTCTATCCACAACCATATTAATTATGACCTCGAAAGATTCACCACACACCTTGCTAACTGCCTTCAGCACTCTTCGCAATACAGCAAAGTCTTTTCTCAAAAGCCCGGGAAAGAATAATGGAGAACAGTAAAGAATAATAGGTAGTATGCAAGAATTGACAAATTGTAAGAGTAAATGACGAGTAATTCCAAGAGCATGCAATCTCTTTATGTAATAGGTCAGACGGAAAACCTTCTTCGATAACGATAAAACGTGGGAAGACCAAGACAGATCAGAGGAAAAGGTGACACCAAGATAATTGACCTTCGACACTGAGTTTATCAAAGAGTCTCCGATGGTACAAGCACTATGGGATCTCAAAATAGTGTTTATATTCCGTTTATGTCTCATGCTAAAGTTAACAGCTTGACATTTAGACGGATTAAGTATGAGACCATTACCAACAGACCAACAATCAATACGAGACAAAAACTCATTCATTTCTATGGGATGTAAAGAGGAAGATATAGGCATACATACAGTGAGGTCATCCGCATACTTCACAAAAGTGTTTTCTGTGGAAGATGGCAGATCATGCAGAAAAAAAGAGAATAGAAGAGGTGAAAGAACAGCTCCTTGTGGTACACCTTCATGAGACAGTAGAGACTCTGAACTCTTTCCTCCAAACACAGTGTATTGTTCCCTTCCAGAGAGGTAGGAACATAGCCAGTTGGTTATCCAGCTGTCAGTGTTGACGCTGATTAACTTGTTAAGTAATCGTTGTCTTGGTATAGAGTCAAAAGCTGAAGTATAGTCCAGAAAAGTACATCGAACATACTTCTTACCCTTTTCTAAGTTGAACACTATGTTGTGATGCAGAACTGCAACAGCATCTAAAGTGCTTCTTTTGCGCCTGTATGCAAACTGGTATGGGTCAGTATGCTCTTTTATCGCAGGCTGAAGTGGAAGAATTAATAATTTAGTCATACTTATCTAATGATTGGTATAAAATTGATTGCCTAAACTGTCGTTAAACAGCTACAACTACTACTTAAGTACTGGATTTCAAGCTTGTTAAACTAATATTAACCTGAGATTTCATATGTTAATTCTCATTATTTATATGTACTGGGTTGATTGAATTATGGCATGTCCAACTTTAACAGGTTTCAGGTATATGCAAGAGATAATTTTTCTTTTAACTTCACTGTAATCTACAACTGACTATAATCTCTATACAACTTCATACTTTGTTGTGTGAGAAAAAAAGTTTTTATTCATTTTCGAAACAATAAAATTATTATAAGCAATGATGGATAGTGGCTAACAGTGAAATCCAGGACGCGCGTTTTGTCCTATTTGGGACTTGTCAGCTGAATGTACCTGCATCTCAGAGTTTGATGTTCACTCAACCCAGTACTGTTCACTTCAAAACGCCATCGCGTTATCCACTTAGTTACTGAGTCGTGACAGTCACTTGCTTGTGAAATGTATCTTTGCTTATAATGCTTGTGAATTAAGACAATATCGAGGCAATACGCACAGTATG